CCGATGCCCGTAACAAATCGACCCCTGTGATGTGATCTCACAACATACACACGCCGATGCCCGTAGCAAATCGTACCCCCTGTGATGGGTGATCTCACAACATACACACGCCAATGCCCGTAAGAAATCGTACCCCCCTATGATGTGCGATCTCACAACATACACGCGCCGATGACAGTAACATTTCGTGACCCCTGTGATGTGTGATCTCACAACATACACACACACACACCGATGCCCGTAACACATCGTACACCCTGTGATGCGTGATCTCACAACATACACACGCCGAAGCCCGTAGCAAATGGTACCCCCTGTGATGTGTGATCTCACAACATACACACGCCGATGCCCGTAAGAAATCGTACCCCCCTGTGACGTGCGATCTCACAACATACACGCGCCGATGACAGTAACATTTCGTGACCGCTGTGATGTGTGATCTCACAACATACACGCGCCGATGCCTGAAACAAATCGTACCCCCTGTGACGTCGGATCTCACAACACAACATTCACACGCCGATGTCCGTAACAACCCGTACCCCGTATGATGTGTGATCTCACAACATACACACGCCGATGTCTGACAACATACAAACGCCGATGCCCGTAACAAAACGTACACCCTGATGTGTGATCTCACAATACACACATGCCGATGCTCGTGACAAATCGTACCCCTGTGATGTGTAATCTCACAATATACACACGCCGATGCCCGTGACAAATCGTGCCCATTGTGATGTGTGATCTCACAACATAAACACACCGACGCCCGTAACAAATCGCACTCCCTGTGATATGTGATCTCAAAACATACAGACGACGATTCACAAAAAAAAAGATATCCCCTGTGATTTGTGGTTTAAATCATACCTCGTGTGATGTATGATCTCACAACTTACACACGCCGGTGCCCGCAACAAATCATACCCCCTGTGATCTCACAACATACACACGCCGATGCCCGAAACAAATCGTACCCCCCTGGCATGTGCGATCTCACAACATACACGCGCCGATGACAGTATCATTTCGTGACCCCTGTGATGTGTGATCTCCCAACATACACGCGCCGATGCCTGTAACAAATCGTACCTCCTGTGACGTGGGATCTCACAATACAACATATACACGCCGATGTAATGGGAGAATGCCAAATAGAGGCAAGCTGGCACACGGGTTGCTTGCTGACATCGAACCTGCCTCGAGCTCCTCCATCTTGGAAGCATGCTGAGGGTACCATGATGTCACCAGCGCCTCTGTCTGCTGCGGCTGACAAGTTTCTTTCTGGTCTGCAACATGCAAGGCCGTATAAGGCCCTTGAAGTGTGAGCTTTGGGGCGGAATGCAGGCGAACTGCTCCCTCAGCTCCCTGCTCTGGCTTTGGGAAGGCAACTTCCCAAGAGTACCATAGTTGGGGCATGACAAGCAGCTAAAGATCACTAGTGTCCGCTCTTGTCTTGAACTCGCTATTCCCGCAACTGTCTCCGTTTTTGGAGCCTGGACATGTGTTTGAGTCTCAACCGAGCTGACAACGTGGTTGCTACCCACTTGAGTCGAAGCCAGGGCATGGTAGGAGACATCTGGAACAAAGGCAAAGGCCTGTGGGATCTGTGTAGTGGACAGGCATCGGAAATCCTTCACAGCGAAGTGCAGATGCAACCCGCCACAGTCACATCTGCTCAGTGGCACCATAGGTCTGCACTCAGGCATGCAGGGGGCTTGCTACTCATGGAAGCAAACCGAAGCAATCAAGGTCGCTCCCAACCGTTGAACGCCCGTTGTCACCTGCTTTTTTTCCGGAGGAGCAGGCACCGAGACTGCACTCGTGCTTGCTGCGTTGCAAGCCTGCTCAAGTCGTTCAAGCGTTTCAGCGTAAGAAGATAGTCTTCTTTTGTTTGCATGGCGTTTCTACATGTGAACGATCAGCTCCGGCCGCAAGCTTTCAAAATCTAGCAGTGAAGCACTTATCTTACCTGGTCAGCTCTCGACAGGGATACTGGTTCCGTTGTGTAAAACAAACTGCTTGCATGTTCACCCATGATAATACATACAGTGTATATACTCCTTCATCAATTACTTGTACTAGGTTTTGTTCACTCCGCAACAGACCGTGACGGAAACAAGATGGCGAAGAAGGCTGCAAAGCCACCAGGGAAGGCCATGAAACCAGGCAGGAATGAAAGCTCAAGCTGACACACACAGTGTGCTTTCGTGCAATTTCCATGCTGAATGGCCAGATGACCTTATTGTGGTAATTTCCAAGATGTTGTCGTGGCTTTTGACTCACGGCCCCGGGTCAGCTAGGTCCTTCTTCATCCTTTCAGAATGTTGAAAAGCCCCATGGCGAGTGCTTGCGACTTATGGGGAGCTGTCGTGAGGTTGAGTCGAGCTTCTGCAGCCACTCGCAAGTAGACTACGCTGCAGCTGCAACGCCCATGGAACTGGCATTCCCTTGTGCAGTGGGGCACGACAAGGTTCCACATGAGCCCCGCTGTTCCCCACCTCCAGTGCCCCTTTCCAGGGTCCGCTGCCCAACTTTTGCTTCACTGAGCCGACCCACGGACCAACCCTCGTTTTTTGCTCTCCTCACCCGGACGCGGAGCGGCACAAGTCTACCACTTTGCAATCTCAAAACGACGGCAAAACCGCAACGTAGGCGTAGGCAAGTGTAGGCGCAATGCACTGATTTTGCGTTGAAGCGATATGTGCTCCGAATTCAAGAACTATAAAGAACCAGCGTCACGGCCAGTGTTTGGCCATGCCTCTCGTTCCGGCATGCAACAAAACACACGCCCTGAACCCCACCCAACCAGGCTCTTTACTACGAACTCCTTCACCACTAATCTGGTTGTTTCTGAAATTAAGGGGTGCCGTGTGCATTTACTGGGATCCTTACCATAAGGTGATCCTCTTTTTCGGGTGGTTTAGAAGGAGATCGTCGGCGCCGGTAAGGTGCTCAGGCGACACACGGCCCAAAGCTCCGCCTGCACGTGTGGTTCACAATTCAGTAGATGCCTGTAGGGGCTGCTTCGGGACGCCCTGCACCCCAGCAGCACGGCCTCTGTGCGGGAGATGTAGTCCTGGCATCTGTGGCGGGTCGCGGCCGAGTGACCCGAGTGTTGAGGCGTTTGCACGGTTGGGCTTGCGCGACAGCAAACCTTTTGGGAAGGGGGGTTGGGGGGGGAGGGCGTGCTGAGCGGCTAGCAAAGAGCGTTTTGAAAAACTCCACAGTCCGAAGAGGAATGCTAGCATGGCCATCAGAGGAATTACGGGAAGAATCGCAAGTGTCAGAATAACAGTTCTGATCAATCGTGGACTATGGTCTGCCGGGATGGAGAAAGCCGGGGCCCTGGCGCCCGAAGTGTCCACATGTACTCCAGTCACCTCAAATATTGTGGGGATGATTAAAGCCCCAGTGCCTGTAGGAGAAGCGTCCCCTCTTGAAGTCATAGGGTGTCTTAGGTACAGTCTTAGGGTTTAAGGAGGGGGAGGAATTCCGCATCAGCCCTGGAAAGATCCGTCAGCAACTCTGCAGCACGGCCTCCACGATCTCCATATCAACCTGAGGAGCGTGCAAAACGACAAAGCACCCCGCATGTGGGCTGTACGGCCTTGGATTGGTTCTCTGCACCATCCCAACCCTAGATGTGCGAAAGGCCCAAAACTTTTAAACTTTAGCCATGTATCCCATGTAAATCATGCAGTCCACATCCACTTGAGCGGGTCTCAGCGCTGACATTAAACGTGGAAGAAGACACATTGAAGTCCAATCCCAAATCTTATCAAATCCCAAAAACACAAATAAGAAACTAGTATTCGGCATTTGGTGCAAAACCAATTCGGCACCTCAACCATCGTAATTTAAAAGCTGTCCTAAGCGTCCTGTAAGAGAGCATGTGGACTGTGGACCCCAAGAGGCGCTACTGAGGTTGGGATGGCGGCGTGAGCTTGCGGCAAGCTTGGTCTCACACACTGCGCCAGGCGGGCCCTCTGCCAAGCAGTGAGGCCAACCTGCTGAGGGACGCTCAGACACTCAGACCAGGCGTTTGACAATGCAGAATGTTATGGGAGCAACTGTATGGGAGCAACTGGGAGTGGCGCAATGTCAACTTTTTTGCCCTTCTTTCCGGTCTTCTTTGGACGGGCCTGGGATGAATCAGGTTTGATCAGATGAATCAAAAAAATATAAAAAGCACATGCCCCGCTTGTCTACCTACGCTACTGCCTCCGGGCGCTGGGCTTTCGAGACTAGCACTGCCCCTAGTTTGGGGTTTTGCATGGTTTTGCACACTTCCCCCGAGCCGTGATCAGATGATCAGGGCACCAGTTAACAGATCATACGTGCCTTAGGTGGGATGAATCCGTTTATGACCCCAGCACGAGTGTGCCCCCACGTGTATAAGCTATTTCGCAGCGCTCTACATGTTTGAGCCCCGAAGGACGACTGAACGGCGAGGCTGCGGCCGCCGATGTCTTCGTAGAAATCACCTGTCAAGGAACCCCAGGGAAGGCTCTTGCAAACTTTGAGGGCAGCGTCCATGCCCACTTAGGGCGTGGAAACTACCCAGCCTCTGCACGGTTAAACCTGCAATCGAAGCAAAGTCATTGCCAGTCTCACTGCCTGACATGGGTGCAACCTGCTGGCAAGCGCCAGCAATGCCTTTTCCCCCAACATCATGCTCTTGCAGGCTCATGCAGGCTCCAAAGAGCTTCAAATCCGAGCTCAAGGCACCTTTCAGGCACCCAGCTGACATGGACATAGGCATGACTCTGTGGTGCCACTTTTGAAAGCCAAATCCAAATAATAGTTAATGACAGTTAATGGTGATGCATAGCTGGGATACAGGCTGCCGGCATCCAGTGCAGGGCTCATCCCGCCCATTCCCGATCGCAACGAGAACGTAAGACCAGCCATCTCCCCCAGAGCCGCTAGCCGCGAAGCTAGAAGTCTTGCGATGTCTTGCGTTCCCTGTTTTGCCATCTCAGAGCCATTCAGAGCCCATGCCGCGCTTTCTTCGTAGCCTTTTGCTCCAAAGCAATCTCCTCCAATTCCCTCAAAAGTGCCGCAACATGTGGCTGTGAAATGTATGCTTGCGCCGCCGCTTGCTCCGCTTCTTTATGGCTGCTGCCAATCCCAACAGACTTGGCCAAGCCACCGTCCCACAAGCTTGAGTTGAGCTCGAGGGTGCAACGAAATGTGGTCTTGCTGACCCGCTCCATAAGGAATTTTCGGAAGTGTTTCGGGTCAGGGCAGCCCTGTTTGCGTTGAATAAGGCGGTCCAAGATCTCCTTTGGAGTGTCGTCGTGACGGCGTTTCTGCGTCATCGTGGTATCACAACCTCCAGGTTGGGGGCCACCCGCTCAAAACGTGGGCCTTCTCCCGCACCCCAGTGCCTTCAAAAGGTCCCGCGTATCAAGCAATGCACATGGCTCAATGCGCTCTACACGACTGTCAATGATTGATCTTTGTCGGGCTTTCGTTGCATAAGACTGCCAAGGCATGGTTTCCCAAGGATGTCGTAAAGACTGCGATAAACAGGCACGGTGTGAAACAGCCATGCTGGGAGCCCATCTGCATATTCCCACACAGAACTTCAACGCAAGCGAGAGCTTGCTCTGCAACAATCGCAGCCCATATGCGACAGCGCACCTTTTGCCCCAGGAGGTTAGGGAGATGCACCTTCAAGTTGCATCACATGCTGACAAAATTCCTGTTATCATGATCAGGAAACTGGAGCGGCTCAGGGTCCCGGCTTTGGAAACAAAATCGTCCCTTGCCTTGTGCAGCTTGCGCACGTGTCATGTGTCGTTGCATCAATCCTCCTGGATCTAAACTCTTCAGGCCATGGCGGTGAAGGCGGCCACGTATCCAGCCTATCCAAACGACTCACATGACTCACGGCTGCAATGTGCTGAAAGGAGCATCTCCCCACCTCCTGCGCAGCCAGAAGACATTCATCCTCTGTGACCTCCAGAGTAAACTGCACACAACAAACAATTACAGACAAACCCTCAATGGAACGAGAGAAACGTTGTTGAGCTGCCGGCGTATTGATACGTCAAGTACTTCTCCAAGAAGATGGCCTCTGCAGACGTTTCTCCGCATTGCAACAACCGAAACGTGCGCCAAGCCATCTGGGAGCCGGGCCATGCCCGCAAGTGGACACACCCACCTTATGGTCGCACAATTCGGAGGCGAAATGCCCGTCATGCTCCACAGCTCGATACGAAACCTTAATCAGAGCCATTCCTGCCAAAATCCAACGCAACCACGGGTCGAGTCTGTGACAAGGAAGACAGCAGCGAATGCTAGCAGCGGAGGCCAGCACACTGAGAGCCAAGCATCACGCGGGGTTTTAGCCAAGATACTTCCCAAAAAGTTAGTATGAAGCCTGCAGAATCCTGAAGGCCTGGGCCGTCTAGCTAAGACCTCAGGTTTAACTTTTTCTACCGCCAACGAAATGTGTAAAGACTCATGGATGTAGACACGCCCAGTTCTCCGGTCTTTCCCGATGTTTTGCGATTAGGCCGATCCCTAAGATTGTCTTTTCCCAGTGGACAGAAGGAGGCCAGAAAAAAATCTCCAGCGTGCAAGATCACGCAAACAAAAGCCAATTTCATGACAGAAACTGCACAACTTTGCCGCGCGCAGAAACCCAAAAGACACAAAAGCGTCAGCAGCAGCAGCAGCACTAGCATAAACACCCTGACAAAGCCAAATAAAACAGACCTGTCATTGCACATGACTCGCAGCTGCAAGTGCTTCTTTTCAGTTGACGCAGCTGCTGACGCTTCACAACTGGTCCACCTGTCACCTTGAGACAGTGAAAACGCAAAGGTCAGATCATGTGTCCTCCATCCATCGGAAGTCTTCAGTGCTTTTGGTCGGATGGTCTGAACCCTTGACAAAGCAAGTTCCCGCTATTCGGGCACACTATGTATGCACCATAAGAGACACAAAGTCGTAGGCGACTATTTTCACAACTACGCAACCGCTAGCAAGGCGATCACACTGACTTGCGAAAACAAATCTAGCCTGGCCTCACTCATAGCCGTCATAGCCAGATTGCATGTCATGACAGCCTCCAGCAAGCAGTGGTTCCCGGCCAAGTAGTTTCCAGCGGTTCCAGATCACATTCCGCGACAAACAGCCCCTGAAAGAGTCGAGCTGCGCGGCAACAAATTAGGCCCCCAGCCAAAAAGCCGAGGGGTGTTTGCCAGCATCTTGCTGATACCGGGGAGCGGTGTTCCTGAAGCGGAGAACCTCGCATAACCTCGCCAACAAGCCCAAAACCCAAATGTGAAACAAGAAAAAGACCACTGCAAGCAGCACTGCACGGCTCTGCGTGGTCCTGCTGGACCACAGCTGCATCAGCAGTTACAATTGCTGCGCGGTCTGAGTCACTGGCCCTATGTCCGATTTCTGTTGCCTGCCGGCACATCACAAGAAGGAAGATTCAGCACTTGTAAGCCTGCGGCGCGCTCACAGATCTCTGCGGGGAGAGAAAGAGATCAGTGTGAGCAAACAAGCGGCGGCGGAAGGCAACAGGCCAAAAGATCATGAGGGTTTCTTCATGTGTCTTCGAATATATATCTGCGCGGCAATGCACATCCTTAAGGTTGTGAGATGCGCCCGCAATGTGGATGCACTCGAGAATGGACGTCATTGAGATAGAGGGATGCATACAGTGACGTCTGGATGCTCTGGAGAACGGACGTCATTCAGGTTGAGACGCTTCAGCTGCACGAACACCCCGAAACGCTTTGCGGCTTCGCGTGGAGGCGGCCGCTTTGCAGCTGTGCAGCTTTGCGGCTTCGCCGCTTCGCACGCATGCCGCTGTACCCCGAACCCCAGCGCAACCGACAATGCAGGACAGGGCTGCATTCTTCACACTCGGAAGCAGAGATCTAGATTCGCGTTATCAGGGCCAAGCTTTTTGATGGCTTATCCACAGTGTAGCAGAAGTTGCGCAGTGCATGCGAATGTGAGGGTTCCTGATGCCGAAGCCCTCCACGAACAGGCACTCAACCTGGTAAACTATAGGAGTGATTGTGATTGCGACATGCTGCTGAGGCCTCAGAAGAAGAATTCAGAAACACACGATTCATGATCAAATCCAGTACAGGCATCAAGGTATCCCACCAGTTCACACACGGAAGGTCAGACAAGCCATGTGACATGCAGCATTATGTCGACATGGCACGGCCAAGCAGGTTGTAGGTTTTGCCGATTCATGCATGGCCATTACAGGGAGGGGCTTGTTTGTGATGCAAGCAGATTTTCTCTGCAAATGCCGTCGCATGGATCTTCCAACTCCTAGGGGGAGTCGGCCTATGCCCACCGCCTTCACCGGAAAATTTGGACCTTTGAGAATTTGATGCTGTCGGGACTCTGGGTGCCGTACTTTTTCTACTGAATCTCCGTCACGATGGCCTGCGCTTTGATGTTGACAATATGTGCCTGCAATACTCGAAGACAGGGTGCCCCGGCACAGTAAATTCAGACCGCTGTTCTCCCTCCCCGTCAAGGCTTGCATTCTAGCTGTAAGTGTGTCCAGGTGCGGCTTAACGTTCTCATCGAAGTTTTCACTGAGCACATCCAGGCTGTGTTGCGGGCCCTTCCCTTCAGGAATTCTCGCATCGTGCCGAGGAGCACTAACAACACTTGGGTCACCAGAAAACGTTCCTTGTACTCTTCGAGCTCCTTGCCCAACAGGCGAACATGGTGATGCTGGTGGTCATGGTGATGATGACGACGATCACGATGACGCTCATTGCAACTAACACGGTTGTTGTGACAACTGTAGCCATGCAGGCATGTACACTTATCAGGCTGACCTGTCTTCACATCTCTTTCAGCTGGCAACGAAACTAGTGACCCTCTCCTTAGCATGCTGACAAGTACCGCTACTGGCTGCACTCGTACAAACTGGTGCCATGCCATGTAACGATTGTACTTGTTAGGAACAGTTGCACCATGTGCGCTATATATGCTGGTAGGGTGACTAATGAATGTTCAACTATGTGTTCGAAACTTGCTTCACAGACTAGATAACGCATTTCATAAGTAATCAACCATATACCCATGCAAATTCTGCTTCAATTCAATGATCTTCAGAAACTATATTGCCACGGTCCCTAAACACTGCTACATCTTGATCTCTGCATGCTATATTTGAGGTCCTCTGGTGACAGGCAGCTCCAATTTCTGCATCCTCATGGAAGCCAGTCACTCAGTCAGCTGAGCGTCTGAATGTCTGAGTGTCTGAGTGTCTGAGCGTCTGAGTGTCTGAATGTCTGAGCGTCTGAGCGTCTGAGCGTCTGAGTGTCTGAGGGTCTGAGCGTCTGAGTGTCTGAGTGTCTGAGTGTCTGAATGTCTGAGTGTCTGAGTGTCTGAGTGTCTGAGTGTCTGACTGTCTGATTGTCCGAGCGTCTGAGATGCGAGAAATCCTGTGGAGCCCTAACAGGACGTCATTAAGTTGTTCACATGGATGCGCTCTTCTCAAATGCACTTCGTCAGGGATGCTCTCTTCTCAAACGCAGCAGACCATGGACATCATCAAGGTTTGGCCATGGATGCTGTCTTGACGGGGCGTGATTTTATAATCAGAACTTCCTGTCACCCGAGAACTCCGAGAATGGAGCCTTGGACTGATGGGGCGCCCCGGATTCTATAATCAGAACTTCCTATCACCCGTGAACTCCGAGGATGGAGCCTTGGACTGATGGGGCGCCCCGGATTTCATAATCAGAACTTCCTATCACCCGAGAATTCCGAGGATGGAGCCCGGGACTGATGGGGCGCCCCGGACTGATGGGGAGCTAATTTTTCAAGATCAGAACTCCTATGAACCCTGGACTGAGAGGTTGGGGCCTGGGACTGATGGGGCGCCATTGATTTTTAAATCAGAACTCCTGTGAACCTTGGACTGAGAGGTGCGTCTGAGTGTCTGATCGTCTGAAAGTGTCAAATCTGAGCGTCTGAGTGTCTGAGCGTCTGAGCGTCTGCGCGTCTGAGTGTCTAAGAATGTCTGAGTGTCTGAGTGTCTGCGTGTCTGGGTGTCTGAGAGTCTGAGTGTCTGAGTGTCTGAGCGTCTGAGCGTCTGAGTGTCTGAGTGTCTGAGTGTCTGAGCGTCTGAGTGTCTGAGCGTCTGAGTGTCTGAGCGTCTGAGCGTCTGAGTGTCTGAGTGTCTGAGTGTCTGAGCGTCTGAGTGTCTAAACGTCTCAGGATCTAATTACCTGCAAGTCTGAGTCTCGGCATGTGATTACAGTGAAGCATATATCGTGTAAGCGTCTGAGTGTCTGAATGTCTGAGTGTCTGAATGTCTGCGTGTCTGAGTGTCTGAGCGTCTGAGTGTCTGAATGTCGAAGAATGTCTGAGTGTCTGAGTGTCTGCGTGTCTGGGTGTCTGAGCGTCTGAGTGTCTGAGTGTCTGAGCGTCTGAGCGTCTGAGCGTCTGAGTGTCTGAGTGTCTGAGCGTCTGAGTGTCTGAGCGTCTGAGCGTCTGAGCGTCTGAGCGTCTGAGTGTCTGAGTGTCTGAGTGTCTGAGCGTCTGAGTGTCTAAACGTCTCAGGATCTAATTACCTGCAAGTCTGAGTCTCGGCATGTGATTACAGTGAAGCATATATCGTGTAAGCGTCTGAGTGTCTGAATGTCTGTGTCTGAATGTCTGCGTGTCTGAGTGTCTGAGCGTCTGAGTTTCTGAATGTCTAAGCGTCTGAGTGTCTGAGCGTCTGATTTCAAATTGCGGCCGCGCGGGTGATCATCACGTCGTCGTCTTGAGAAACCGGGATCAGGGCAGGTAGAATGTAAGAGCAACACACGCATTTTCCAGCATGTCTGAATTGCAGCACAGGATCATTCATGCCGTAGCGAGCCAGGATGGACTCTTCGATGGCCTTCCGACCCTTGAAGTCATTCTTGTAGGTCTCCAACATCTAGTGACGCCTCGTGCGTTCCAACGAGGGGTGCCCATGCGTCAACGCTGGAACAATCTGCTGGCATGCAAGCAACTATACGGAACTTGGCACGCTTCTTGAAAGTTCTAGATTAAGCTGCTTCTTGGGGATTATGACCACCAAAATTAATTAAGACATATTGCCAAGTACCCTCAAGACGAAAGCCATGTTGGGCAAAGCTGCAAAGCCACACAAACATAGGGGAAGAAAGCGATGGGCTCACCGGTCACGACCTCAGCTGGGCAGCGGCAAGGTCCCTTCAAAGACAGATCAAAGCACAAACCTCGTGGGCAAACCGTGAGAATCAACCGGAAAAACACGGCCCCAAGCTGTGGCTCAGGAACCAACACACTTTGGGCTCCCTTCGGCTTTGAGAAACATCTCGAAAAGGACCTCAGACAAAAGGTTGCCCCTTTCAGTCTTGCCTGAATGCATCTCAGTCTTTCCAGGCATTCTGTGGGGCGCAGGCCGAGTAACTTGACTGACGCGATTTCGACACGATGAAAGCATAACAAGGCTGATCCAGTCAGAGCCCAGAAGCAGTATGGAATGCCTTCCAGCGTGACCTCGGCAAAACGGGGATCATGCTGAGACGATTGGGCCTTTTCGGCTTGCAGAGCAAACGAAAAGGAACGAGGCTCTGCCGGGAGATGCCCCTGAGGGCTGGGCGACTGCGTAAAACAGGCGGGGACGCTGCGCAGCAGAATTCCTCCCAGTTGCTACTGGCACGTTGCCACCGAAGTGTTGCTCTAAATCACTCGCGCTGCTTGACCTTCTACGTGCAGTCGCCACGGTCGTCAGGAACTGATCCTTGCAACACCTCAGCCAGAAAGCTAGAGCGCGATGGACCGGCGTGAATGTCAAGCCATGAAGCATGAGTCCTTCAGCTCCCAGCTTCAACTGCTTTGCCGGTTGTCGCCATGTTCACCGGAGCGGAATGCGGCGGGCCAGACGAGATACCTTGGTGGCACGAGCCGCAAACCGTGTACAGCAGCCTTGATTGCCTGGCAGAACTGCTGAGCAAAGAAAACTTACATAGCCCTGAGACCTTGGAAGAAAAGCATGGCGTTGCCAGGAGATGACACTCAGCGCCGGGCTGCAGGATGGGACAGTGGAACAATCACAGCGACCGTTTGGCTGAGTTTCGCGCGGTGCTACAATGAGAGCGCAATGCCCCCGAAGTAGCCAATGGGATTTCCCAAGGCAAAGAGGACGTCGCCTGTTCGCAACATGTCAGCACCTGAGCAGAACAAAAGTACTCGAGCTTATCCAAGCAAGTCTCCTCTCCCAAGGAAGAGCGAGAGCGGGGGCTAGAGAGGGATCAAGAGGAAGACAAGTGCCGGGCAAAACCCAGCGAAAAGGAGCATGCATGTCCCATTTTCCTCTCCGTACCTTCATCCTCGCTCTCCGCTCCTCCTCTCTAAGCCTTCTCTCTTATTCATGTGAGAAGGGTGCGAAAGAGAGCGTGAGTGCAAGAGGGAAAGCAAAAAGGAACATGACGAAGAGTGAACCATACGCCGAAAGAGCCACGGGTGAAAACCAAGGCAGAGGCCTGGGGCCTCCAACTGTTGGTCTTCCAGCTCGATATGTGTGACTTTCCTTGTGTTCTCCTTCCAGTGTCCCCAGAAAAAGGCATGAGGCGCGTGAACAGAGAGATAGATGCAGCGGGAGACGGGGAAGCAACGAATAGATAGAACAATGTACGCTGCCCCACTTCTCGTCTGTCTCTTCCCTGCGTCTCTTTCATGCTTGCCCTTCATTCCCTCTTCCTCCTCAAAGCATCAAGACAGCAGAAAGGAAGGCCAAGAGGCCATCCCTCTTCCACGATGCTCCTTCTTGCTCTTCTTCACTGCTCCTTTGCCTTGCTATAGAGCGGGAGCAGTCCCTGCGCCTCTCTCCCTCTGTATGTTTCTTTAGCTTCTGCTCTGGCTAACTGCTTCTCTCCTGCTGCACCTTCTATCGCAGATTCGGCCCCTGTCATCCCTTTCACTCTCCCTTCTCTATTGGCGATGAGGCCTAAGTATTAATTATGCGAACACGTGATGTGCTGATGGGGACCGGTATTTGGAACAACTACATGACTACATGTATGTGTATGGTATGCGCACGTGCGACTTGCGAGTTGCTGCCGCAAAGTCTCCGCAGACTAAACATGACTGGACGGCCTTCTCGCCGAAAGTGCATCCTCGTGACCTGAATCCGGGCAAAGCTACAAAAGCTGTGCAATGCTGCTCGGCTACAAACGTACAGCTTAGGCACCACGACAATCACCTAAATCACTAGATCACCGAGCGCGGGGCCGCTTGTAGCCATGGCGTCGCCCAAGATTGCTTCCCAAATGTCCATGAACCAACCAAAGTAGGACGCCTTCGGGAGGCACCGAGGAATCCAACACAGGCGGAAATCGAGCGACTCGATTCCTGCACAGCGTCTGCATCGGCACCGGGCATTGCTCAAGAGATACAGTAGCCTCAGAAAATGCTGCCTGACACATGTTTGTGCAAAATCGAGACTTGCCACTGAAAGCACGAAGCTTACAAATGAACTCGAATCCATTGGCGAACGCTTGAGGCAGTATGTGCAGCTACCGCATACCACAGTTCAGAATCAGAACCGTTCGGTTCCCCTGGAGTTGCTATCTGTGGCGGCCTAGTTTTTGCCGACATGATACACTGAGAGTCACTCGTCTTCTGACGTCCACCTTCCAAGCCAGACTGAAACTTTCCAAAGAAAAGCCGTGTTCTCCAGCAGTCTGCAAAAGGTTTTGCTGCGAGGTCCGTCTTAGCGGTAGTTTTGCAGGGCATAGAAGGCATAGAACATACGAACTTCTTTCGATCACTGCTCCCCGATCTTGACTCTGAAACAGAGGATTGGCAGCTCGAGCCAGCCTGTTTTCCCCTTCCATTCCACCAATCTGCTGTTGCAGACTGGGGGCTGGCCACATGTGAGCTTGGTATTCACAAAACCGGTTTTCGATCCTGCATCGCTGCATCTGGCCAAAAGGCTGCGCATGGTCGAAAATGAATTTCAACGAGGTAGCTAAATCTTAAGCAAAGGGCCCCCTTCGCAACATGCAAGCTAAAACCGGCGTGTTCCAACAATGGCCTGGCTCCAGGAGGTCCGCGCTATTTCTAGAGCTTTATCATCGGTTGTGCAAGCCCTCTCCACTTCCTCCCTGGAGACGTGGCCGACTGCCATCGTCAGGGCAGGTTACCCTCAAAGGCTTTCACTTTCACTGTCGGGCTCCGACCGACATGAATTGAAACAGGCGACGAAAACTTGCTGTGGTCCCCACAGCTCGCCAAAGAGCAAGCCTATTGACACTGCTACAATGCTACATCAATGCTACCATGCAAACTGGTGAATTTCTGCCTCACAGCACACCGCAAGAAGATGTGTAAGTCTGTCAGCGGCCTGACAAGGTCATGAACGCTGCTAGTTATCGAATTTGCTGCCGATCACGCTCTACTGTCGGTCTCAGCTCCGACAAAGCATGATCGTGGCCGACATACCTGCAGCATCCTCAAAACCTTTATGGACACTCCTGGCACTCTCATGGTGCAAGGTTGACGGGGTTTTCGACAGTGCTGTCAGAGATCAGCGGCATGCATGCCCCGACTTACCGCTGTCAAAGGGTCAACGGTTGCTACGATGAGTCTTCATAGTTATTCAGTTATTCGCAGTTAGACAAAAAATTTGCTAATTAGGAGGAGTTATGAAACCACTCCGGGAAACCACGGCCAGTGTTCAGAGCTTTGGCAATTGAGGGAGAGTGAAGTGGACGATGGGAGCTTGTGCAATGGCGGATCAACAGGGGTTGAAACCCGGGAAACAAGACACTGCGAAAAACAGAGCTTCGCGCTTCGGGCAGGGCCTCATCAGAGTAGCTGCTGCAGCTGCTGGGTTGCCTCGGCCTCAGCTGCGGTGCGGAGATGGGACAACGCTGGCAACTGGGAGGGCTGTTGCATCAGCCCCAACACGAAAGCCCGAGAGCCTCGCAGCCAGGTCATGCAAGACCTCACACGGGTGCCATGCTCTTGGTTCAAAACCACTTCTACACTGCTTCAACTGTTGGACGCAAAGGCTTTCTCAGGGTCAGTTGCAAAGTGTCCCTCAAAATCAAAAGATCAAGACCTCAAACTCTAGCTCTGGCACCTCTTCGATGGAACGCTCTTGGACCGTGACCTGGAACGGGCAGGGCTAAGCTTGCTGCACATGTCGTCGCGCAGCATCGAGCGACTCCATATGTTCCGATAGAGCACGCTTGAACACTGCAAGCCAGTCCACAAACTCAGCGACCGCAAGGAAACTCAGAATCACCCCCAAACTCTGCAACAAAACACCTTAGCCCTGAACACTCAAACCTTGTGAGCGTCTCCCAAGCAGCAAGTGCGGCTACGACAAGCTGCGGCTTGGGGGTCAGTGCCAAAAGCTTTCAAAAGGCACGGCCCAGTCCGTTCAACGACTCCTAAGCGTGATAAGCAATTCCGAAGGCCAGCTTGCCCTAGGCCTGCAGAGCTTAGTTTGAGTCCAAAAGCTGCCGCGGTCAACGAGTGGGGCGGCTAGGCATTTTCAGCTCAGTCCAACGACTCCCCACATTTTGTTGCACCAGAAAACGCCCCGCCCAGCTTTTTGAAAGCCGTGGTTGCTGCCGACCCTAAATCCTCGGTGTTCCTCTAAAGGAGTTGGGGACAAGCACAGTGGGGACCATCCATGAGCCCTGGAAGCCTCACCCAAGTTCTCTCGCCCGAACCGGCGCTCTTGTCACCTTGGAAGGCCAGAGCTGAACACTCTGACTCTTTGATAGAGCCGGTGGCATGCACTTTCTTGAAAACTAGTGATGCGCTTTGCTGCTTCAGCTGCGGCCTGCGGCTCCCAATTCTTCGTGTTCATGAAGAGCAGGGCCCCGGAATGACCTCGCATGCTGAGCGCCCGGCGAGCATCAGAGGTGCTTGGGCTTCTTGGCTAGTGACTTATATAATGAGCTCTGGTATTTCGCGCTTGGAGTCCATTTGACTTCGGGATTGGTCGGTGGTTGAAGATGCGTCAGGGAAATACAGTCCTATAGCTTTCTTCGCCTCCTACCTAGCATCATCCTTAAGCCCAACAGCCCATGATGATTGCATCCACAGGTGGCTTTGTCCTGCATCGCATGTTGTCCGTACGTTGCAGCCTCTTTCCATCCAGAAGCTTCTTGCAATCCGCGCCAGGCTTAAGGTTGAAGAAGGCCAGGATGCTGGCAAGGGCGAGTTACATCCCAAAGCCACTACGGAAACCCACATGCGTCAGAACATCCAAGAGGGTTGCGGCACCGTAGAGCCAGAACGCCCTTACCCGATCACTACGTGCACGGAGCCCTTCGAACTGCTGGACCTTTGAGGGACTGGCATCCTGCTAATAGTCCAGCCCAAGAACTCCCTTTCAATGCCAAAAATGGGGAGTTCTCTGAGTCAAAAATTTTTGGGGGGGTCCAATTCTGAAACAGAGCCTTGTATTACTGTGTCCAGGCCAGGGAGCGTATCTCAGAAACTTCCCAAACATGTACTTGTAACTACTGGCTTCTCTACCCAAAAGTTCTTGCTCCTACCAAACTTAGCTGCCGCACGTCCGCAGAACTCTGCTGCCCAAGCCTCCTACGCGACGGTAGCTTCAGGCCCTGGCAGGCGGCCCAACAGCACCGGCTCGCGCCTGTGGGTCCAGGGTTTAAGGCTCCAGGGCTGAGTCTCAACCTTGAGCTATGATAAGCACATTGGGGCATCGGAAATCCCTGAAACCAAACACCTCGTATCTGGCAAACCGACATGGCCGAGTTGCACAAACTCAAGAGCTGGACGTCCTTCAATACCAAGCCTCTGCCTCCAGGTGAGTCGCGTCACTCTGAACCCGAGACACCCTACTACCCTGATTTGAACATAAGCCGCGGAAAGGGGCCTGCTCGGACCATCATCCCGCCTCAAAGACCGATAGGTTGGAGGTTGCTTGAGGCTTGGGGTTTGAGGGGCTTGGACTGAAAGGTTATCAGGGGCTGAAGTCGAGGTTGCACCACAGCGTGGCAGCATCCCAGCACTCTAGAACCGTCGACCCAAACCCGAAACCCCAAACCCAAACCCTCAACCTTGAGCCCAGAACAGACCAACTCGATGATTCAGCACGCCCCCCACCTTGGGCACAGGGACACGTTCACGGCTCGCATCTTGCCTTTGACATCATCGTACTCCGCATCGAAGCGCACCTTGTCCCCCTTGCCCAAGCCACGGCAACCTCTCAAACTCGAAACGTGGCAGAACAAATCTCGGCTGCCATCATCTGGTCCTGCACCAGGGAGTGTGATTCGACAACAACACCAAACACTAAGCAAGTGCCTATGAAGCCATAGCCGTTGTCCATCCACTTCTTCACGACGCCTGACTTCGACATGGCTCTTATTTTGGCGTAAGGGTCGGTCTTCGAACTGCACCATGCAATCTTAAGGCGCGCTGTCCTGGCCGTGCGGGGAAGGGCACGAAAAGGTGGAACAACCCCCCCTTCACCCTGCTGCTGGAGCCGATGCGAGCAGTTGCAATGTCCGCGTTTGAAAAAATCGGGATGCGAGTCAAGACTCGCATGGTTCTTCTCAAGCCCATTGTACGAGTCCCTCAAGGCGCAAGGGTTTGTTTCTATAGGAGCCACAGTCTGCAAAGCTGGAAAAGAAGCAGCTGCAATCGTAGTGGTGCGCTGAACAGCTACATTGGGCTGCATGAGCTTGCAGGCTGGGGGTCTGGTGTCTTTATTGTCTGAATCACAAAATGTGAACCAATCACAATCACGCAACCCTGCCATTCTTCTCTATCAATCCGCTACCGCGACCCAGTCCGTAATCGGACTCCAACCCGCTCTCCGAGTGGTTCAATGAGAACCGAGAGATGCTCTGTGTGATGACTCCATAGGGCAGGCAAGCTATGGATCAGCGAGCGGGCGGAAGGATCTGCAGGTGAACCTTTCATTTCTTCTCGACTTGCGTTTTGGTATTTGTCGCCGTGCCCACAACCTAATCCCTCAGCAGGACCCGAAGTCTTGAGCAAGCTCAAAGCTCGGTGCCGACTTGTGCCGACCTTGTCACCCTTAAACCCGAGCTGTCACTGCCAAGTGTTTCCTCTGTTTTCCCTCAGCATGCACGTCGGACCTATGCTGCTCGAATGCCAAGCTGAAACGACCGTCTCCTTGAGTGGCAACTCTGCTCTGCAGTGTCTGCGATTGCGAAGGCAGTCCCACTACATCCTGCAGCTCCACAACTTGCAGGACCTGGACGTTCGCGAAAAGCTAACAAGGGCCATGACTCTACATGAGACAAAAGTTACCAATCTCGACCCACCATGATCTGCAAAGCGGCTGCTTGCCATTGGGGGGGGGGCTCGATGAACAACGGCTCTGCACGCCTAACGGCTGTGCCTTGTCGTGTTGGAAACTTGCAGTGAGCAAGGTGTGGAGAAGGAACAGTCCCCGCCCCCCGAATCGTCAGATTAAACCCGCTACGTGTGGCGTGCATCAACCACACGGCGGGTCTCGAATTCAATTCTGGTCCAAACCCAAGCCTCTCTCAAGGTGTCCGCCACTATGCGGTCCTTCCATCGGACTCTTCAGGAGACAAGTTAGCATGTTGTTTGCGAAATATTTCTGTAGCTCTTCTGGTCGGGCCGGCCGGCTTCAGATTCTTTAGTTCTGCTTGCACCATCCCCCGGTCCAGCTCCCCAAGCCTCTCCACAGGTACAGCTAGTATGTGTTCATTTAATGATATAACAGGATAGAGTTACAACCACAACATAATCACGAACGCTGCTAGTTATCGAACTTGCTGCCGATCACGCTCTACTGTCGGTCTCAGCTCCGACAAAGCATGATCGTGGCCGACATACCTGTTCCTAACGGGGCCCCGCAGCACAGCTCTCACAACTTCCCTTCTTCAAATGTTTAACACTCCCACCGCCTAAGGCATACCAATTTCGCTTCCGAAGCTGCGTGCTCGAATCGGAGTGCGACGGCAAGCCGGTCTGCGAGGCGTGCACTGTGCCTCGTTTTTCTCGGGACTCTTCACGTCAGGAACACCCTTCAGACCACACAGCAGCGTTCGTAGCGGCTGCTTGCGCCATTTCTCGATGCGTACCTGACTGACCCAACCAAGCAAGCTGTGAGGTTCAACACCCTGCCGCGCGCAAACTTCGGGAAAGCATACGGCATACGGGACGACAAGAGGCTGGACCCAAGCACACCGGTGCTGGGACATCTGGGCCAAACCACGTTGCCATAGCTGCAGCATGATCAAAAGATGTTGAAATACAAACCTGAATGGACTGTGTTTGATTGCCCGCAGATTCCAAACACGATTGCGCCGGCTGACATTGTAAACATGCAAATATGTGCCAGAACCACAAGAGCCTCAACCATGGCTGTCACAAGTCTTTTCTGCTCTACTTCACAACTGTCCCGGCAAGTGAGTTACCAACTGGTTGGAAAATGCTGCGCGCGTCTTGATCTGAGCCTGTTGCCGGCGACAGAGTGGTTCTATGGGCTTAGCAAGCATGGCAACATCATCAGGCCACAAAGTCTTGCCCATTATGCATCCTGCTTGCACAAGAATCAAGAAGTCCCTCCTGAAGCTTGAAGCCTGTGTGCCTTCAGTCTTCCACACAGCACACATAAAGTCTGCTACAGGTTCTGATGTAACCCATGGGGTTACAGGGCCTCAAGAATTGCTGATGCCTTTTGGCCATTTTGCCCGCATTCGTGGTCCGTCCAGCGAAGCACTCCTGGAGCTGGGCGAGGCCGGACTTGTCGGCATAAGTGCCTTCCTTGCATTTATCGCACTGGGACATGCCAAACTGGTTCACGAAGAAACCCTTCTGGCAAGAGCTGCAGGAAGAGGCAGCCCGCTCTTCACTGATGCCAGCTGGACAGGGGTAGCACTCGGCCAAGCCACTGACATTGCCGAAGGCTCCGGTGCGGGAGGGATCACATTGAGTCACGCCTAAAGCTTCAAAGTGTCCAGCGGGCCAGTCGCTGCATCCGAGGTCGTTGAACCAAATGGTTCCAGCAGGGCACTCGCTGCTTCGATCTAGCGGAAGAAATCCTGTGGACGCGCTGCTGCAGCTCGTGCTCTTGCTGCTGTCTGTTCTGGCAACCACTCAAGCCGGAGCCAAACGTGACCAGCTGCGTGTTGGGCTTGCTTGCCGGTGGCCGTGCATGTGAAGTAGATCTATCTCGTTGTGCAGCGATATGCGCTGCTTGTGACTGAGGTGTGGGATCCCCTCAGCCACCTGCACGTACTCGTCCTGCAGGCCAGCAATGTCTGCACAAAGCATCTCAATCACTCGATTCAGTTCGCTGAGCCAAGTTCGCTCATTCCCAGCTTAGAAATCTGATGCCTCGTCTGAGTCTTCTACCGGAGGCCGGTGGACCTTGCAACAGCGATTCATATGGACGGGGCTCCGCTTGCACATGTGCTGATGTTTGGGTACTTTGAAAAGGTGCCACGCAAAGCATGATGCTCGCCGGCTAAAGCCGCCGCAAGCCAAGCTTAAAGCAAAGAGTTTTGAGCATCAGTGCCAGCAAGGTGCACAAGGTCCGCTCCTGCACGTCGGATCGGCCAAACCAAAACACAGCGCCTCGTCGGACAGCCCCAGCAGCTTGAATTTCGCGACCAACATCTCTTTCCCCTGCATCGAGGACTTCAGCACGAACATCACTAGCAATGCGATTCCCCTTGCGCCTGCCTGGTATAATGCTGCCGGCAGGTTCTCCCCAGTCAGCTCCACCGCGTCCTGGGCAGTCCAAAGCGTGCACAGGACCACGCCAAAGCATGCTGATGCGACACGCGCAGACACGTGTTCAGGTCCTCGTCGGCGACTACCCGCAGGCCATAATGCTTGAAGAAAGCTGTGTCACGAACTGCAACCATTGACTTCAGCTTTGCCAAAGACATGCGACGGACGTGTCGCAGGCGACAGCTCTCGACCTGAGCTTGTGAACTAGAAACACGCAAGAGCCAGAGCAGTTGAACCGACCACAACTCAAGATCACTGAGGGATGGGGTCGGGAGAGGAAGAAGGAAGGGTCGGGGCACTCAACCAAAAGAGCCCAGAAAACCCTCCAGCAGGCAGCACTCACAAGTACGGCCTTTTTCATCTTGAGCCAAACGCAAGTTTGGTTCATAGGTCGCTTTTGAAGCTCAAGGACTGTTTTCGCTACCATGCTACACAAAGGGCTGAAATGATCGTAATTTTTCAACTAGAGCCGCAGCGATTGGAGCAAAGCACACAAAGGTCCCGGCAACCTGCCGCATAATTCCGTGCCGGGCCTCGAACCGAGCGTACGTGCTCGCAGCCATGCTAGCACGATTATCCTGGAATATCTGAGCACAGTACATACGTCGCGGCGCGTTCCATGGCAACCGCCGACAGGAAATCAGCTTGTGTGTACAGGCCTCGCAGCAGGAAGCAGGCCAGCCTTCACTGCGCTTAGGAATCGTCAGGCCCAGACTTAGGAACTTGGGCCAGTCTTGCCGACTGGCAACTTCGCAGGCCTGTTCCGGCAAGGCCCGCCGGGTGACGCGGGAACAACAACGTGGCTTCTACACAGGCGCAACTCAAATCACAGGCACGGCACAATCGCAGCATCGCGGTTGAAACACGACTATAAACAGTACGGCTCGTCGCGAACGCAAAACTGTTGCACCATGCATGGTTCTGTGCCTGCAGTGCCCACGCCACAACGGAATGAGACTGCTGCTCAAGACTCAAAGTGGCAACGTGGCCGCCAAGCTCCTAGCAACATCTGCTGAAACATGGCAGCTGATAGAGTAAAATGCAGTCATGCTGTTGTCACAAACTGGGCAGCATGGCCGAAGGTGCCCACGACATCAACAGCAACGTCAGATATCGCAGCGTTGCCATCTCGTGAGAGCCGATGTAGGCCTGCAAACATCACACGCAGAGGGCTTGTAACTCCGACAGCCTCAACGTGTTTAACGCAAAGCCCACCTCAGAAGCATAAAGCGACCTCAAGCTCAGAATCCTTTCGACCAGCCCGCTCGGTGGCCCCTAGCGAAAATGCAATGCATGGCGACGTCGTGCAGATGCAGGTAGATTGCGCCAGCGGAACCTCCAAGTAGAAAAGGGACACGATCTCCTTCCGCAAGCGATACTCAACCTGGAGGCCGAGCCCTCATGTTCTAATCTCTTGCGGTCCTGCACTGCACTCCGTGTCTCAGCGAACCCGGATCAAGGCTCGCACTGAGTCCGAGTCGCTCACTGCGGCCTGGTTTTCTGTAGAGTCTGCAGTGTTTTTCAACAGGACCATGCATTCGTGTGGAGGGCTGTCGCTGGTGGCAGACTGGTTACCAAAGGGATGAAGCAAGTGATGGCAGCCTCATCACGCGCTTTCTCAGCCTCACCCACCTCGCATGACTTTTCGGCCTCATCCAAACAATAGCTGACAGTGCTGTTGCCCTATCCATGCGGCTTAAGCAGAAAGCAGCCCCATCATGAGCGAAATCAAACTAGGCAACTTCCTAGAGCATATCCAGCGCCTCCTTTTGTGAAGGCGCGGCAGCAGCTCCATCCGTACAGGAGTCAGCAGATGCGCCCTCCCAGTCCTGGTAAAGGACCGATGCTTCGGAAGGTTGGAACATCAAATATCATAGCGGTCGATCCTCCAAAGTGTCGTCCGGAGATGGTGGGGCTGTCACATCCGAAAGCCTCATATGGCCGGAACATCGACGTGGGAAATGACTCCTTCTGCTCCCGCCTAGACCTCCTCGGGGTTGAGAGTTCAGTCTTTGCCTGGCAAAGGCTAGCGCATCGGCAGTTTCACATCGGGACAAGCCTCATGCATCCTACGATGGGCGATTCTTCTCATCGACGCTGAGGCTGCGGCTGGAGCAATCTTCTTCGCTTCTACTGTCTCTGTCGGCGAAGCACTAGTGTCTGGCGCTTTCGGCACTGGCTTCGGCGCGAGCGGGAACTTGGAGTACAGGTTCTGTCGTGGTGGACAAAGAACAAAAAATTGCCAGTGGAGAAATCCCATGCCCCGCCTGCATTGCGTCCGAACTTGCACTGATTGTCTTCACATGCTCGACATAGTAAGACCTGTCGCTGCAATTCTGTGAAGGGCTGTTGCTGTGGTGGTGTCTGCGTGACGCAGGCCGGAGGCACCAAGTGGAGGGCTGAAATGCAGATTCGGCTTTCGCACGGGCGGCAGCGAGAGCCTCGCAGCCAACAGAATATGACAATCTGACGCCTAAGCCTACACCAGTCTCCGGGCAAGCAGGGGCAGCTGCAGGTGCTGCTGCGGCTGCTGCCGCCTGAGGGGCGGGTGAGGCATGCAGCGCGCATAAAATTCGGCAGTGGGCAAATGAAAGCAAAATCATGCAAGCACTATCTGGGAACGACCGTAGCAAACCTTCTCGGACAGCTCGCTCATGGAGGCCACGGCAAGCCCTGGATCCAGACATGGGTATTCCTGGAGGCAGAGAAAGCAAAGGGCGACCGCGAAGGAAACACTGGGAGTTTCAAAAGGCAAAAGAAATTACAAGTCGTACTATGACTCTTCAGACTTTTCAGCTCTTGGTTCATGCATTAAATCTAGGTCCGCGTTGCAAGTGTGGTTTTCTGCGGCTCAAGATCCTGAGCCGATGCCATGATCCGCATTTCAACGAAGCACGCTATGCTTCGGCACAACAGGCTAGGTCGACTGTTTCCAAAAGGGAATTTTACATAAGGCTTGCTTTAGCTGGCGGCCCAGGGCATAGGAGCAAAGTCCTCTCGCACTCGGTTGAAGCAGCACTGCTGGCACTGACCCATGATGTCAGGCACAGAAGCCACGGGAACCAGATGCTGTCAGCAGTGTTTGTTGCAGGCACGTTGTTTTGGGTGAAACGCATCTTTACTTTATCGCAGGTGCCAACAAAGAGAGTCACTGCGGAGCTTGCGTCGGTAAGAGAGATGCTGCGGAACTTAGAGCCCAGACCACGCCATAGATCCGTTTGAGGTAAAAAGCAGCACAGTCTACATAAGTCCCACTGGAAGTACGCGCTTTTGCTTGAGGCCACCATTCTTGCTCAACAAACATGCGCTGCCCACTGCCTTCCATCTCAGCATCACCCTGAGCAGCGCAGAGCCATACTGAGATGGAAGGCAGTGGGCAGCGCATGTTTTTTCTTTTTTTTTTGTTCTCCTGTGCCGGCGCTGTCTGCCGCGCACAGATGAGACGGACTGGCCAGAAACAGCGAGCATAATTTGCTCAAGGGTCGGTGGTTGGGGTTCGGGTTCGGCATTGGAAGTACGAGTAGCTTCATTGTTTAGGGTGTGACAAAAAGGGTTGTACTACAAGGTGTCCGCTCAGGCGACTCAGTACAGTATCTTGCCTGCACGGGCTAATTGGTGAGATGTCACTCTCAAGTTGACTGACAAAAACGCGCACGCCTACTGCCGCTGTGTGCATGTTCTTGTACGCACAGGAACCCAGCATAACCCAGCCTTGCGCAGTCTTGGCTGGCCTGAACCTTCAGACGTCATCCTCACGCCTGAAAGCTTCGGAACGAATGACGCCGCTGCCTAGTTAATCCGCGCATCTGGGCGTTGTCATGTTGACAGCACATTCAAGCATGGATGCATCTGACAAGCTGGTTCAACTTCCTCTTTGCAGGCTGCGCGTGCAGTATGGGCCTCATCCTGCTCGGCCTCATCCTGCTCGTCCTCTTCCAATAGATCTTCCTTACACGAAGACTGCGTGACGAAAGCGATGCAGACATTCGACACGCCAGCTATGCCCAAAGTTTTTGCATCGTAAGCCCACATAGCCCACTACTGTGGCAACGCTGTGCCGCGGGGCCGCATTGCTCCCCCCGGCCCTCGACTTTGCCCCTTCGTTCCAAAGCTGCTGGAGTGAGGCTTTTCCGGCTTCGAGGGTGTTCAAAGCTCCTTCCCCTTCTGCCTTTCGGCCATGTTCTACTAGGCTTCTATCCGCTCAGCTGGCGCAAAGTACCTCCCCCGCCCTCTGCACAGCAAAAGAAATCGGGAAACATGGTTTGGGGAGTTTTAGGGCTGGAAAGAAGGAAACATGCTCTGGAACCCCAACTAACCGGGGCAGCATCGCACTCAGCAAGCAGATTCGAAACACGGAAGCCGCATTCGGAAAACAGAGACACGGAGTCGGAAACACGGGGGCTACGGTCGGAAACCAGGACGGCAACATTCGAAAACACCATGGCCGCAGTAGGAGAACGAGGCAGCAAGCGGAAAACAACGAATAACAGAAGCTGCCTGTCTCCGTTAGAAAGTGCAAAGTTAGGAAAAGCCAGAAACGGAAAACGAGTGCAAAACGCAAAGCCACCAACGGAAACAAGCAACCCCAACGGGAAAACACACGGTCGTCTTCATACATTGGCGCGAAAGTCCCTTGCGCCTTCCTTTCCGCTGTCTGTCACCGGCTCCCAATTAGAAAAAGCCGCATGTCGGAACACGCGAAACCGCAATCAGAAAACGAGCAGCCACAACAGCAAACACGACATCAAGTAAGCTCTCTCCTTTGGATTCCCTGTACGCTGCCTGCCCCGGCCTCCCGAATTAGAAAATTCAAGATTAGAGAAAGCTACGGTCGGAAAACGAACAACTGCAACGGCAAACACAGGATCAGTTCCGTTTCGCATTCTTTCTACGCTGCCGGCTGCTAAATCCCAAATTAGAAAACGCAAAATTCCAAAAACAAATCGGTTGGGAAAATCGTATGTTTCCTGAGGTATTAGCTAGGAAACCTTTTTTTTGGAGACACAGAAAGAAAGAACAAAAGAAATAACAAAAACGCGAGAGAGAGACAGAGAGAGAGATAAAAAAGAAGGAATCAAGCTCCCTTTTTAAACCGTCAGTCATATGAGTGGAAGCTTGCTTCGAAGTGTGCAGCTGTTTTGCTGAAACCCATCGTGCGAGCATCCCTGAAATTTTGAAACTCATTATGCAAGCACTGTGTGTTGCAAATGGGGGCTCCCCCCAAATCCCCCCCACTCTTTTCAGCCGGGCAAGGCATCTGAGCGGAGGCTTGCTTCAAAGCGTGCATTTGTTTTGCAGCCCATCATGCGAGCATTCTTTTTCGAAACCCACGGTGCGAGCATAGTTTTTGCAATGGGTTGTGGGGAGGTGGGCTGCGCCACCCCCCAATCCCCTCGCCTTTTTTCAGCCTGCATCCCCCCAACCCCCGGCTTTTTTTAGCCGTGCAAAGCAGATGAGTGGAAGCTTGCTTCAAAGGTGTATTTTGTTTTGCAGCACTTCGAGCAATCTTTATTGAAACTCATCATGCAAGCATCCTCTGTCCCCGCCGCCTTTGTTGCGTCGAACGTAGAGCGCGCCGGTGTGTCAGCCAGGGAAACTGTGTGGTGTGCAGCTCTGCATGGCGGTCTGGCGGTCGATGCAGCTCAAAAACGAAAAGCTGGCAAACTACTGCCACCAAGCACTCGGCCAAGTAAGTGGCAAGCTGCGCCATGTGAGGATCCTTGGCTTTGCATTGCTGCATCATTGCATCATTCAGGGCAACGTTCGCACAGACGGCCCTAACGGGAAAAAATGGGCACCAGCTGACCGCTCCGAGGTCATCACAGCAGGACCCGAGCCCACTTGAAACGTGCGCTGCTAGCCCGGATGATTGCTGCTCTGAGGTCATAACAGTGGGGCCTTCGGAGCTCGAACTTGCAGATGCAGAAGATGAAGAAGTAAGGTTTGCCTGGGGTCAGGAGGGCAAGGACTGGGCAATCAAAACTCAGCAAAGTGCCAGAGGCTGCCGCTGGAGGCCATTCTGGCAAACTCAGCTCAGGCATCATCTGTCCCTCACGGAGGCACGACGAGTAGAAGGAGCGTCAGGTGGTGCAACAACTGTACTTGCTCCCTCACTGACCCTGCGGACCGTTGTTCCCTCCACGGAGCATCCGGGTGTGATCCGATAAGCACGTCGCGGCTGGCTTCTTACCTGCGGAGGTTTGAAGATCCTCTGTGGGCAAGTTTACTAGAAACAAGGCTTGCGTCATAGCAACCACTAGCAGTACATTCTCTTGGCAGCTTCTGTGGATAGTGTGCGCAATGCTTGATCCCTTCCTCTCTCACAACGTGGTGTGCGCAAACAACAACCCCAAACCCTAAACCTTCGTTCCGAGAGTCCCTAATAGCAGCCGCGGCGCCTTCGGACGTCGTCCTGCACCGATCTCGGGCACCTTCCAGGTGCATTCATTCGGCTTCAGGGTATATGTTAGGTCAGTTGCCAGGGCTGTTGCAAGCCTCTAGGATTCGGTATTTGGACTTCGGCATTTTTTCGTCGTTTACTCGAAGGTCCAAGTATCCCAATATGAGTGAAGAGTATGGTTTTGGGGGCCCTGAAGGCCTATTTGGACACTTGGGGTCCTTTTACGTCTTCCCTCATAGAAACTGTTCAGGGGATTCTAGAGGGACCTTAACAATCTTCATAATTACAAAGAGCCAGTAGGGTTTGAGTTCTTGGAAAGAAGGGTTTGGGCATGGCACCCCGCCTCAACGCCCGTGCCAAACGACAGCCTGTCCAGCAGTCTATTCTGAAGGTCCTCATGAAGGTCCTTTGCAGGGCTTTGGGGTTTTGGATGTTGGCACGCCCCAGAACCCTGCGGTCTTCAAAATCTCAGCACTCAAGCAGACTCAAGCATCTACCCAGAGTAGAGGAAAGAAGGTTCATGCGCTGAAGTCGGCCTAAACTCCCCCTGAATCCTGCCACTCGGAAACCTTCAGACCTACACTTAGCTTATCAGGGTTCACTTAAGGGGGCTTACGGTTTAGGGTGTTGCTTGGATGCTTGGTTTTTAGGGCTTTTTGGGATGATCCTCCCCCCGCCCGGTCCTGCGACTCACCTCAGCGCAGGAAACTGCGCGTCACTTCGTTTTGGCTTTTGGGCTTGAGGGCCTTTAAGGTTTGAAGTAAGAGTTTAGGACCCTCAACCCATCAACTTGTGCAACACCGACAACTGTTGACATTCACCGCGGCAAACAACATTAAAAGAATTAATGGTGATTCTAAACAAGAGAAGGTGCGTAATCAAACGCTTAAACCCCAATCTAAGCCCTGGCAGGCAGCCCTGGCCGAAACGGCCCAAAAAGCCCCAAGTCCTACGGGCGGCGTAGTGAAGACCAGTTCTCGTCATGCCCACTACGACTCTTCCTCCCGACAACTTCTGGGAAGTACTTCCTCACCGCCCCCACCGCCCTCTCCGCTTTCCCACTAGCCCGCATACCCCTTACCCCCTACTCTCGAGGTTGCAAAGATTTTCAAAAGGGCTCCAGTGCAGCCCAAAACCGTCGCCCTTACTGCTGTCCGTGCCTTCCCCTTCCCTCCTTGAAAACGATTTAAAAGCTCCAGCACAGCCCCAAACGTTCACCGCCCTCAGTGTCAAGAATATGTAAACCCTGATAAATTGAAACGAAAGTAAAACGTAATTAAATGACTTTCGGCTCTCCACTACAGAAGCAGGTTAGAGCTCCTAGGCTTCGGGCCCCAGGTTTTTGGAGCGAGCTATTCAGTCGCAGGCACGAGCTATTTTGTGATGGTGCGGGCTAGTTCGTCGCGGGGGCATATTCAAATCTTTGTAATCCCACGAAAAGATAAACATCTCAGTTTACATCTCAGGTTACTTATACCAGACCAAATAGCCCGCGCCGCGTTGATGAGCCACGACTGTGCTACCAGCACAAGTTTCTGGGCGGAAGTATGGGCTGCTCCTGCAGCTCTGGTCGCTGGCGCGAGCTATTTGCCCTGTCCTTCCGCGCCCTTACTTTTGAGGGTGGCGGGCAACCACCTCAGTTAGTCCTCGAAACACCCAGTTTGTGGTTCGAACCACCTTGCATCAATTGTGGAAGATGTCTGTGTCCGCGACCAGATTTAAGGCACGAACGCCCTCGGATTTGAAAGACGTGTGCGGTGCCAAACACCCTGATCATAGGAGACATGAGCGAGGTCAAGTCCATAGGATTTTTGGGGTGGTTCTCCGCCCAAATTAATATTGCACTACACATATGTACACATGTACCAGCACACCTCAGCTTCGCTGCTGATCGTGGTGGCTGCAGCAGAGTGTGATCGGCCTCCATTGATGCACATATGATTTGTCCAGGGGAGTCTCTTCAAGAGTGTTTCGGTGCCCCCGCATGAGCGTGAAATAACCGTGAGATGACCGTGAATTGCCCAAGGTCGTGGGTTTTCTGGAAGAGTGCAGCTACATTAAACCACCCCAAAAACCAAACCGTGAAATAACCGTGAAATGACCGTGAATTGCCCGTGAACGGCACCCCCGAATTCAGGTCGTAGGTTTTCTGGAAGAGGGCAGCTACACTAAACCACCCCAAAAACCAAACCGTGAAATAACCGTGAAATGACCGTGAATTGATCGTTAACGGCACCCCCAAATTAAGGTCGTAGGTTTTCTGGAAGAGGGCAGCTACACTAAACCACCCCAAAAACCAAACAGTGAAATAACCGTGAAATGACCGTGAATTGATCGTGAACGGCACCCCCAAATTAAGGTCGTAGGTTTTCTGGAAGAGGGCAGCTACACTAAACCACCCCACAAACCAAACCGTGAAATAACCGTGAAATGACCGTGAATTGATCGTGAACGGCACCCCCAAATTAAGGTCGTAGGTTTTCTGGAAGAGGGCAGCTACACTAAACCACCCCAAAAACCAAACCGTGAAATAACCGTGAAATGACCGTGAATTGATCGCGAACGGCACCCCCAAATTAAGGTTGTAGGTTTTCTGGAAGAGTGCAGCTACACTAAACCACCCCAAAAACCAAACCGTGAAATCAGCGTCCCTGAACCCTGGAGCCCTAAACCCCTTTATGATAAACCCATGAGGTACCCTCAATCTCTTAACCCTAAAACCCGACCACGGGCCAAATACATAGGATTTTGACGGTTGTTGGCCAACATTAAGCATAAGTGTTTTGATGGTGGTTGTCGATTCAAAGACTCTAACTTTTGACGTGGGTTCAGTCCTGTTCAACGATGCTTTTATATAGCATCATTTCAGCACTTTTGACGTGGGCCCGGGCAGGGTGGCTATGCGACCCTAAAAAGTTAGGTCGTTCACGATGCGCCCTCGGTTTTCAAGGGGGTTGGAAGGGCTGGGTTGGTCACAAGAGACTATTCTCAAGCAGGCGCAGATGAGGTGCTAGTTGCCCACGCTGAGAATCCTGACGATCCATGTTTTCCAGGGGATGCAAAGAATGCAGTCCGGGGCGTCTGCCCCGCGCTGTCAAAAAAGCCCCCAATCACCCCCCACCCGCAAAACCCAGCCCCCAACTGTCCTCACTGTTGCCCCATGTCCTATGCGGTACCCCACCCGTGCCCCTTAGCCCCTATACTCTCAAGCTCGCGAAGCTATTGAAAAGGGCTCCAGCTGCACTTTTGGGGCTTAGGGCCCAAACCCTTCGTTACCCCCCCCGAAAAAACCCCGATAGCCCCCTTTTGAGGCACGGACTTGCACTGAAGCTGGCATGCAGGGATCCCGTCTCCAAGCCCTGTTCAGGGCTCCATAGTCTGTGGCTGGGGTTTATAAGGCTTGAGTGGCCTAAGCCATTAAACACATGCTAATTACTTACGCATGCGGTTTGTTGCTGGTTTCTAAATACCCGTGAACTTGCAGGGTTTAGGGTTCACTTCCTGACGTTGTTGAAGTTCAGGACGCATTCCGGCCCGCGGGGGGGTCCAAGCAAACTCTGGGCCCATCTTTTGGAATCTGCTACCTGCCTCCAAAAAACGGGTTTACACCCCCCGCCGCGCCTCCTCTTGCGAAGCTCCATCCGTGGTGCCATCCTGGCCGGAAGTTTGGGGGCTTGGGGCTTTTTCATGCTTTAGCGTTTAGGCATGTTCAGGGCTTACATAATTTTTCATGGGTGCCTATGTATCCCAAATTCTGACAGCACATCTGACTTCAACTGAGCTTCGCAAGAGGCTTACACATGGGATATTGTTATTAGGTTATGTGTTATAGTACTGTGCTTCTTGCTCACACAAGTCTCATCCCCTCCCCCACGTACTAACCCCCCACCCCACCCCCGGATCCCGAATACAAAAAGAATTCCCCCCCATTCCCCACCCCACTCTGGGAGTTAAATGAGTGGGCAATAGTGGGCAAGGGGCTTTTAATATTGGGGGGAATGGATTATTATAGGGCCGTCGCTGCGAAGCCCACCAACAGAAAGGGCTTGTTATCCCCCCTCCCCGGACGCGACTCGTGCTTAATGTTTTCGGGCCACTGCGGTTCCGTGCTTTGCGCGCCCACCCACACACACACACACACAGTCCTCCCAACTTGAAAGCTCCGGCTCCGTGATAAATGCCTAACGGCAATGCTCACATCGAACAACTCCGACTGCAATCGCGCATCGCGTCACTGAGCGCTGAACACTGGCAGAGGCTTGCATGTCAACTTGCGGAACTTGCGGTTGCGCCAGATCTAGCAGCGACGGGTCATGCCGCGTCTTGACACATTCTTTCATCGCACCGTGAAATCTGTGGCTGCGGGCTTTCCATGCTCGGAAATGGAGCTTCCTGGCAGAGGGCTTCACAGCTATTCACAGCCGGCAGGCTGAAGCTTTCGAGATTTTCAAGGGAGCGCCTCAGCCTCTCTCGAGGGTACAGACCGCTGGGACGAGCTGGGCCTTGGTCTTTGGTCCCTTCGCATCTCGTCCCCCCACTGTCAAGCCTGTCAAGCGACTGAGCGAAAGGCGAGCTCAGGTCGGCAGAGGCTCCTTGCACCAACGAGCGGTCTCTGCATCCCGTCTCCGGCGCAAACATCTGATGCAGATGCGCCTTCGTCGTCAGCACTCAGCGCCATCGCCTGAAAATCCGGGGAGGTTTGTGCGGTTGAACTCTGACCAGCTCCGAGAGGCATGGGAACAAGAATGAAGATGGAGCAGGTTCAGAAAGCGGGAAGCAACGCGTCACATGCAAATAACTGGTCAGCTAGGCTGCCCACCAAGAGACCCATCAAGGCGATGAAATTCTGCCTGAACAAACACATGTCTGATCGACAAGCCACTGGCACAAAGCGCGCTTCCTGAGGCGGCAGCATGTTGCGTGCGGAATCCGTGACAAGGCACAGGTGCACTTTGAGCCGCTGATTGCAATGGAACCACGATCCTCGAGATTGTAGGCTGACACGTGCTGCCTTGCCCATTATGCATCCTGCTTGCACAAAAATCAAGAAGTGCTTCCTGAAGCTTGAAAGCCTTTGTGCTATCACTGTTCCACACAGCACATATAAAGTCTGCTGCAAGTTCTGATCTACCCATGGCCTCAAGAATGGGCCTGGAATGACTTTGTGAAGTATTTTTATGTGTTTGTGAGTTTTTTGTTCGGTCTTTGGCTGGCCTAAATCATGGGAAAGAAACTTCCTTTTTTGCTTTGCAAGCCGCATGCCTGCAGCACATTGCATCATTGCATTCCCGTGCTCGGGTTTGGGTTTTGATTCGTAACAAGTTATTGGCTTAGTTGACAAAACTCCGACTACAAGGAAAATCAGCATCTTTATAGACATCTGCTTTCTCTGCAGCCATGCTCAAAGATCGCTGTTCTTCTCCCATGTTCACTCCCCCTAGGCCCTCTTTACACGTTACTCTAGCGGGCTCGGAGTCCGCGAATGGTCGGGAGCTTAGAAAAACCTGAGCGGATCCGTGAGTGATGTTGCATCGTTCTAATACTGTGGTGCTTGCTGCGGTCTTGTTCGACGCACTTCAGCGCCCGCACGCACAGCCGCTCTCAGACTGACTGTAAGACTAGCGCGTACATACTTCGCACATGCATATACAATGTATGTACACATATAATGCTATACGTATGTAAGATACGTATGTCTCTGGCCTTCAGGCACAACTTTGGCATTATGAAGAAACTGCTCGAGCTCCCATCAAGAATTCCTGCAACGCCACATGCAACACGCGGATTTGCTTCCCTGACCACTATAGGGGTAACATGGCCACACATGACGTACACAGACAGACTAGAATTCAATGGAAGCTGCACAAACGTGCCCCCAAGTTCACGTTGTGGAGGATATTTCGCACCATCTGTTGAGACCCCCAGGTGCATCTGGACCTGGAACGTCGCCACAAACAAAACTCAGTACTCTGAAATTTTACACGTTGCTCTGTGGGGACCGTAAGGTGGATCTACCCAGTAAAGGTTCAAAGGTTTCCGAGACCCAGTGAGATAGCAATGTCATGCAATGTCCACGGATAAGCCGCGAAAGACGTCGAACGCCAGGAAGAAACAGGTGTTTCCCTGGACACTTAGACGTCGTAATCGACTGCAGCCGAAGAGAAGAGATACTCGGCGATGAATGGCTGCGGCCGGAGTGGGGGGACACTCCAGAATGGGCACCAAATTGACTGGCTCATTGAATGCTCCCTAGCCAACACCCCACTCTGTCCAGTGGCTGCACAGCTCCCCCGAGTGATTGCGCTTCCCGAGTGGTTTGCAAGCTTTCCCAAGATTTTGCAGCATCTCCGAGCGATTGCAACTTGCGATTGACAAGCCTTTTCCGAATAATCTGCAGCTTCACCGAGTGCTTGCACAGCTTCAACCAGAGCCATAACGATGGTGTCAAGCTGCAAAGCCAATCTGGTCGAACTCGATTTGGTGCAAATCATTCGGGCCACCTCGCGAGCAAAGCGGTCCCAAGCGACGGTCGTCTGGCGTGACACGCAAGAAGAGTGCAGCCGGATCGGAGGTAAAGCTGAACAGACCAAACGATCAGCCCGCCACTCAACACACTATACAGCATGCAGAGAGCGCGACATGTAAGAAAACCCTCACATGAGCTCTCAAACTGAAACGGGATCAGCCAGTGAAGGCTGGGAAATTCCTGAAGTCTTGAGTGCCATCGACTGAAAGATGTGATGCTGCTCAATTTGAGTTTCTGTTCATCTTGGGAAAGACTCTCTCTTCTGCCGTGGCCTCTAGACCCCACCAGACCGCCGTACTCGGAGCTGATTCAAAATCGAAAGGGTGTTGAACGTAGATCGCGGATGCTTGTGGTAAGGTTTCCGTCTTGGCAGGTGCCTGCCCTGCCCTGCCCTGCCTCTGCCTTCTTGAACCGATAACTTGTTAGATTCAGTTATCTTTCTTGCGAAAGAGATGATGGTTCGCGGACGCCTGTGGTAAGGTTTTTGTCTTGGCAAACGCCGCGGTGATGGATCGCGGCTGCCTGTGGTAAGGTTTTTGTCTTGGCAAGTGCCTGCCCTGCTGATGGATCGCGGATGCTTGTGGTAAGGTTTTTGTCTTGGCAAGTGCCTGCCCTGCCCTGCCTCTGCCCTCTTGAACCGGAAAGTTGTTAGAGTCAGTTATCTTTCTTGCGAAAGAGATGATGGTTCGCGGATGCCTGTGGCAAGGTTTTTGTCTTCGCAAATGCGCTGGTGGGGGATCGCGGATGCTTGTGGTAAGGTTTTTGTCTTAGCAAGTGCCTGCCCTGCGCTGCCTCTGCCCTCTTGAACCGAAAACTTGTTAGATCCACTTATCTGTCTTGTGAAAGAGATGCTGGTTCGCAGATGCCTGTGGTAAGGTTTTTGTCCAGGCAAGTGCCTGCCCTGCCCTGCCTCTGCCTTCTTGAACCGAAAAGTTGTTAGATTCAGTTATCTTTCTTGCGAAAGAGATGATGGCTCGCGGCTGCCTGTGGTAAGGTTTTTGTCTCGGCAAACGCCGCGGTGATGGATCGCGGATGCTTGTGGTACGGTTTTTGTCTTGGCAAGTGCCTGCCCTGCCCTGCCCTGCCCTGCCCTGGCTCTGCCTTCTTGAACCGATAACTTGTTAGATTCAGTTATCTTTCTTGCGAAAGAGATGATGGTTCGCGGATGCCTGTGGAAAGGTTTTTGTCTTGGCAAACGCCGCGGTGATGGATCGCGGATGCTTGTGGTAAGGTTTTTGTCTTGGCAAGTGACTGCCCTGCCCTGCCCTGCCTCTGCCTTCTTGAACCAAAAAGTCGTCAGATTCAGTTATCTTTCTTGCGAAAGACATGATGGTTCGCGGATGCCTGTGGTAAGGTTTTTGTCTTGGCAAATGCCACGATGGGGAATCGCGGAAGCTTGTGGTAAGCTGAAAGTCTCGGCAAGTGCCTGCCCTGCCCTGCCCTGCCCTGCCTCTGCCCTCTTGAACCGAAAAGTTGTTAGATTCAGTTATCTTTCTTGCGAAAGAGATGATGGTTCGCGGATGCCTGTGGTAAGGTTTTTGTCTTGGCAAACGCCGCACTGATGGATCGCGGATGCTTGTGGTAAGGTTTTTGTCTTGGCAAGTGCCTGCCCTGCCCTGCCCTGCCTCTGCCTTCTTGAACCGAAAACTTGCTATTTAAGTTATCTTTCCTGCGAAAGAGATGATGGTTCGCGGATGCCTGTGGTAAGGTTTTTTTTGTCTTGGCAAACACCGCGGGGATGGATCGCGGAGGCTTGTGGTAAGGTTTTTGTCTTGGCAAGTGCCTGCCCTGCCTTGCCCTGCCTCTGCCCTCTTGAACCGAAAAAATGTCAGATTCAGTTATCTTTCTTGCGAAAGAGATGATGGTTCGCGGATGCCTGTGGTAAGGTTTTTGTCTTGCCAAACGCCGCGGTGATGGATCGCGGATGATTGTGGTAAGGTTTTCGTCTTGGCAAGTGCCTGCCCTGCCCTGCCTCTGCCCTCTTGAACCGGAAAGTTGTTAGAGTCAGTTATCTTTCTTGTGAAAGAGATGATGGTTCGCGGATGCCTGTGGTAAGGTTTTTTTGTCTGGGCAAACGCGGTGGTGGGGGATCGCGGAAGCTTGTGGTAAGCTGAAAGTCTCGGCAAGTGCCTGCCCTGCCTTGCCCTGCCTCTGCCCTGCCTCTGCCCGCTTGAACCGAAAAGTTGTTAGAGTCAGTTATCTTTCTTGCGAAAGAGATGCTGGTTCGCGGATGCCTGTGGTAAGGTTTTTGTCTTGGCAAACCCCGCGGTGATGGTTCGCGGATGCCTGTGGTAAGGTTTTTGTCTTGGCAAGTGCCTGCCCTGCCAAGCCCTGCCCTGCCTTTGCCCTCTTGAACCGAAAAGTTGTTAGAGTCAGTTATCTTTAGATGCTGTGCTCGGAAGAACTTCGGCGTAAAAAGAAAACGCCGCACAGGCTCATGCATTGCCCTCGAATCGAATGATTCTGCTACAACTGTTGAGAGGAAGGTCATGCGACAGTGAGAACACATGGATTGCAATCTCCAGCTCAACCCACATCATGCTGCATCTCTGACCTACTCGATCGCATCTCCCACGACACATGCACAGAAATGGACATCCTCTCCCATTTGTGGTCTCCGCACGATTCTTGCCCGTAGCCTTTATCGGCCAGCAGAGCACAGGAAAACCTAAACAGCCTTATAATGTCGAAAATCCCCCATGATTTCGGGGGGGGGGACCTAGGAAAGTGAAGATTGCACTTTGGGAGGTCCCCCTCAGATTGTCGAAAAGAAACGTGACTTTGCTAGGAGATGCAAGGGTACCGTCGACGTGGTGTCGCTTGGAGACTGCTCTCTCTGGACTGAGGTGTAGCGGCGCGGCAAAGATGAGATGTAGCATTCTCCGGACCCAGCATCCTGCGAGAGTGGCCAACAGGTCTCTCTTTGACAGATTCCCTCAGGTCGGTTGCTTCGAACTAATGAATTATAATCGCTCTGAGCCCAATCGCTGAATCAGGCTTATCCTGGTGCCTGGTGTTTTTTCCCGAATGCTCCGCAGAAGGGCTCCAGTTTTAAAGGTTGGGGTCCAGGGGTCCAGCAGGTGACCAGCGATCGTTGTTAAAGCGTCCGCAAAGCGTCCGCAAGCGTCCACAAAGCGTCCGCAAAGCGTCCGCGTGTGACGCGAGGCGTGTCGCGCAGCGCTGGTAATGGGGTTAACTCCACAGAACACGCGTCCCGACGGCGTTCTGAATCCGTCAAGCTAAGGAGGAACTCGGTAACCCCAGAGGTGTCGCTCTGAATCCGTCAAGCTAAGGTGGAACTCCACGCGCGTGTCGCGCGCGTTTTGAATCCGTCAAATTCCGTCAAGCTAAGGAGGAACTCCATAGGAGGCGTGTTCCGGCAGCGTCCCTGTCGCGCGCGTTTTGAATCCGTCAAGCTAAGGGGGAACTCTGCTTCTAGCCCCAGAACCCCCAACCTTGAACTGTGAACCCTCTTGCGAAGGCTTCGGGAACAACATGCGGAAGCAATTCCACGAGCAACTTGTCTGTGAGAGTGCTGCAAGCACGGTAAGCGGTGCACTGCCAATACATGTCGTAGGTCGACAGCTGGGAAAGCCGCGACAACCCGTCGCCCGTGGACTCAGAGCACATGTTGAAGTCCTCCTGCTCCTGCTTGGTATCTTCGGGCAACGGCCTTTTCCGAGACGCCATGGCAATGTCTGAAGGCCGGTACAAAGCAACGTGACGTTTTCAGGGCAACTCGCATGGTTGCAAGCCGATACGAGCCTTCTTGAAGCCACCTCTCGGGATGCTCCGCCCGCTGACGTGCAGTGCTCTAATGAACTAAGGCAAGAGGGTTAATCGTATGTTATGGCTAGGCTTCCACCAATACTGAGCACGGTGCCCTCTGTCAGCATGCATTCCAGCCAGCTCAGTCCTCCATAAAGCCTTCATCGCCCTCCTGCGTATCAGACTCCCGGCAGGAGTTTGCACAAGAAGCATGGTCCCCAAACAGCCACACGGCCAGCATGATGAACCTCTTCAGGACTCTCAGTGACCATCGGAACCTGGAAGGTTCAGATGCAGGGACTACATGTCCGGGTCAACAGATCTCGCACTCAGACTCTGAAAAGGACACCAGGATTTCGTCATAACTCTATTTCTTGTTGCTGTGATGTTCCTGATGCAGCTTGAAGCCTCAAAGTGTGAGCTTCACCTGTAAACGTTTGCGATGCAGGAGAAGAGATCCTGCTGCAGTGCATTGTAGGTGTTGCAAACCATGGTCACCCTTTCTGATCATCACGTCGTCGTCTTGAGAAACCGGGCTCAGGGCAGGTAGAATGTAAGAGCAACAGCACAGGATCATTCATGCCGTAGCGAGCCAGGATGGACTCTTCGATGGCCTTCCGACCCTTCAAGTCATTCTTGTAGGTCTCCAACATATAGTGATGCCTCGTGCGTTCCAACGAGGGGTGCCCATGCATCAACGCTGGAACAATCTGCTGGCATGCAAGCAACTATACGGAACTTGGCACGCTTCTTGAAAGTTCTAGATTAAGCTGCTTTTTGGGGATTATGACCACCAAAATTAATTAAGACATATTGCCAAGTACCCTCAAGACGAAAGCCATGTTGGGCAAAGCTGCAAAGCCACACAAACATAGGGGAAGAAAGCGATGGGCTCACCGGTCACGACCTCAGTTGGGCAGCGGCAAGGTCCCTTCAAAGACAGATCAAAGCACAAACCTCGTGGGCAAACCGTGAAAATCAACCGGAAAAACACGGCCCCAAGCTGTGGCTCAGGAACCAACACACTTTGGGCTCCCTTCGGCTTTGAGAAACATCTCGAAAAGGACCTCAGACAAAAGGTTGCCCCTTTCAGTCTTGCCTGAATGCATCTCAGTCTTTCCAGGCATTCTGTGGGGCGCAGGCCGAGTAGGCTTGACTGACGCGATTTCGACACGATGAAAGCATAACAAGGCTGATCCAGTCAGAGCCCAGAAGCAGTATGGAATGCCTTCCAGCGTGACCTCGGCAAAACGGGGATCATGCTGAGACGATTGGGCCTTTTCGGCTTGCAGAGCAAACGAAAAGGAACGAGGCTCTGCCGGGAGATGCCCCTGAGGGCTGGGCGACTACGTAAAACAGGCGGGGACGCTGCGCAGCAGAATTCCTCCCAGTTGGTACTGGCACGTTGCCACCGAAGGGTTGCTCTAAATCACTCGCGCTGCTTGACCTTCTACGTGCAGTCGCCACGGTCGTCAGGAACTGATCCTTGCAACACCTCAGCCAGAAAGCTAGAGCGCGATGGACCGGCGTGAATGTCAAGCCATGAAGCATGAGTCCTTCAGCTCCCAGCTTCAACTGCTTTGCCGGTTGTCGCCATGTTCACCGGAGCGGAATGCGGCGGGCCAGACGAGATACCTTGGTGGCACGAGCCGCAAACCGTGTACAGCAGCCTTGATTGCCTGGCAGAACTGCTGAGCAAAGAAAACTTACATAGCCCTGAGACCTTGGAAGAAAAGCATGGCGTTGCCAGGAGATGACACTCAGCGCCGGGCTGCAGGATGGGACAGTGGAACAATCACAGCGACCGTTTGGCTGAGTTTCGCGCGGTGCTACAATGAGAGCGCAATGCCCCCGAAGTAGCCAATGGGACTTCCCAAGCCAAAGAGGACGTCGCCTGTTCGCAACATGTCAGCACCTGAGCAGAACAAAAGTACTCGAGCTTATCCAAGCAAGTCTCCTCTCCCAAGGAAGAGCGAGAGCGGGGGCTAGAGAGGGATCAAGAGGAAGACAAGTGCCGGGCAAAACCCAGCGAAAAGGAGCATGCATGTCCCATTTTCCTCTCCGTACCTTCATCCTCGCTCTCCGCTCCTCCTCTCTTAGCCTTCTCTCTTATTCATGTGAGAAGGGTGCGAAAGAGAGCGTGAGTGCAAGAGGGAAAGCAAAAAGGAACATGACGAAGAGTGAACCATACGCCGAAAGAGCCACGGGTGAAAACCAAGGCAGAGGCCTGGGGCCTCCAACTGTTGGTCTTCCAGCTCGATATGTGTGACTTTCCTTGTGTTCTCCTTCCAGTGTCCCCAGAAAAAGGCATGAGGCGCGTGAACAGAGAGATAAATGCAGCGGGAGACGGGGAAGCAACGAATAGATAGAACAATGTAAGCTGCCCCACTTCTCGTCTGTCTCTTCCCTGTGTCTCTTTCATGCTTGCCCTTCATTCCCTCTTCCTCCTCAAAGCATCAAGACAGCAGAAAGGAAGGCCAAGAGGCCATCCCTCTTCCACGATGCTCCTTCTTGCTCTTCTTCACTGCTCCTTTGCCTTGCTATAGAGCGGGAGCAGTCCCTGCGCCTCTCTCCCTCTGTATGTTTCTTTAGCTTCTGCTCTGGCTAACTGCTTCTCTCCTGCTGCACCTTCTATCGCAGATTCGGCCCCTGTCATCCCTTTCACTCTCCCTTCTCTATTGGCGATGAGGCCTAAGTATTAATTATGCGAACACGTGATGTGCTGATGGGGACCGGTATTTGGAACAACTACATGACTACATGTATGTGTATGGTATGCGCACGTGCGACTTGCGAGTTGCTGCCGCAAAGTCTCCGCAGACTAAACATGACTGGATCGACGGCCTTCTCGCCGAAAGTGCATCCTCGTGACCTGAATCCGGGCAAAGCTACAAAAGCTGTGCAATGCTGCTCGGCTACAAACGTACAGCTTAGGCACCACGACAATCACCTAAATCACTAGATCACCGAGCGCGGGGCCGCTTGTAGCCATGGCGTCGCCCAAGATTGCTTCTCAAATGTCCATGAACCAACCAAAGTAGGACGCCTTCGGGAGGCACCGAGGAATCCAACACAGGCGGAAATCGAGCGACTCGATTCCTGCACAGCGTCTGCATCGGCACCGGGCATTGCTCAAGAGATACAGTAGCCTCAGAAAATGCTGCCTGACACATGTTTGTGCAAAATCGAGACTTGCCACTGAAAGCACGAAGCTTACAAATGAACTCGAATCCATTGGCGAACGCTTGAGGCAGTATGTGCAGCTACCGCATACCACAGTTCAGAATCAGAACCGTTCGGTTCCCCTGGAGTTGCTATCTGTGGCGGCCTAGTTTTTGCCGACATGATACACTGAGAGTCACTCGTCTTCTGACGTCCACCTTCCAAGCCAGACTGAAACTTTCCAAAGAAAAGCCGTGTTCTCCAGCAGTCTGCAAAAGGTTTTGCTGCGAGGTCCGTCTTAGCGGTAGTTTTGCAGGGCATAGAAGGCATAGAACATACGAACTTCTTTCGATCACTGCTCCCCGATCTTGACTCTGAAACAGAGGATTGGCAGCTCGAGCCAGCCTGTTTTCCCCTTCCATTCCACCAATCTGCTGTTGCAGACTGGGGGCTGGCCACATGTGAGCTTGGTATTCACAAAACCGGTTTTCGATCCTGCATCGCTGCATCTGGCCAAAAGGCTGCGCATGGTCGAAAATGAATTTCAACGAGGTAGCTAAATCTTAAGCAAAGGGCCCCCTTCGCAACATGCAAGCTAAAACCGGCGTGTTCCAACAATGGCCTGGCTCCAGGAGGTCCGCGCTATTTCTAGAGCTTTATCATCGGTTGTGCAAGCCCTCTCCACTTCCTCCCTGGAGACGTGGCCGACTGCCATCGTCAGGGCAGGTTACCCTCAAAGGCTTTCACTTTCACTGTCGGGCTCCGACCGACATGAATTGAAACAGGCGACGAAAACTTGCTGTGGTCCCCACAGCTCGCCAAAGAGCAAGCCTATTGACACTGCTACAATGCTACATCAATGCTACCATGCAAACTGGTGAATTTCTGCCTCACAGCACACCGCAAGAAGATGTGTAAGTCTGTCAGCGGCCTGACAAGGTCATGAACGCTGCTAGTTATCGAATTTGCTGCCGATCACGCTCTACTGTCGGTCTCAGCTCCGACAAAGCATGATCGTGGCCGACATACCTGCAGCATCCTCAAAACCTTTATGGACACTCCTGGCACTCTCATGGTGCAAGGTTGACGGGGTTTTCGACAGTGCTGTCAGAGATCAGCGGCATGCATGCCCCGACTTACCGCTGTCAAAGGGTCAACGGTTGCTACGATGAGTCTTCATAGTTATTCAGTTATTCGTTAGTTAGACAAAAAATTTGCTAATTAGGAGGAGTTATGAAACCACTCCGGGAAACCACGGCCAGTGTTCAGAGCTTTGGCAATTGAGGGAGAGTGAAGTGGACGATGGGAGCTTGTGCAGTGGCGGATCAACAGGGGTTGAAACCCGGGAAACAAGACACTGCGAAAAAAAGAGCTTCGCGCTTCGGGCAGGGCCTCATCAGAGTAGCTGCTGCAGCTGCTGGGTTGCCTCGGCCTCAGCTGCGGTGCGGAGATGGGACAACGCTGGCAACTGGGAGGGCTGTTGCATCAGCCCCAACACGAAAGCCCGAGAGCCTCGCAGCCAGGTCATGCAAGACCTCACACGGGTGCCATGCTCTTGGTTCAAAACCACTTCTACACTGCTTCAACTGTTGGACGCAAAGGCTTTCTCAGGGTCAGTTGCAAAGTGTCCCTCAAAATCAAAAGATCAAGACCTCAAACTCTAGCTCTGGCACCTCTTCGATGGAACGCTCTTGGACCGTGACCTGGAACGGGCAGGGCTAAGCTTGCTGCACATGTCGTCGCGCAGCATCGAGCGACTCCATATGTTCCGATAGAGCACGCTTGAACACTGCAAGCCAGTCCACAAACTCAGCGACCGCAAGGAAACTCAGAATCACCCCCAAACTCTGCAACTAAACACCTTAGCCCTGAACACTCAAACCTTGTGAGCGTCTCCCAAGCAGCAAGTGCGGCTACGACAAGCTGCGGCTTGGGGGTCAGTGCCAAAAGCTTTCAAAAGGCACGGCCCAGTCCGTTCAACGACTCCTAAGCGTGATAAGCAATTCCGAAGGCCAGCTTGCCCTAGGCCTGCAGAGCTTAGTTTGAGTCCAAAAGCTGCCGCGGTCAACGAGTGGGGCGGCTAGGCATTTTCAGCTCAGTCCAACGACTCCCCACATTTTGTTGCACCAGAAAACGCCCCGCCCAGCTTTTTGAAAGCCGTGGTTGCTGCCGACCCTAAATCCTCGGTGTTCCTCTAAAGGAGTTGGGGACAAGCACAGTGGGGACCATCCATGAGCCCTGGAAGCCTCACCCAAGTTCTCTCGCCCGAACCGGCGCTCTTGTCACCTTGGAAGGCCAGAGCTGAACACTCTGACTCTTTGATAGAGCCGGTGGCATGCACTTTCTTGAAAACTAGTGATGCGCTTTGCTGCTTCAGCTGCGGCCTGCGGCTCCCAATTCTTCGTGTTCATGAAGAGCAGGGCCCCGGAATGACCTCGCATGCTGAGCGCCCGGCGAGCATCAGAGGTGCTTGGGCTTCTTGGCTAGTGACTTATATAATGAGCTCTGGTATTTCGCGCTTGGAGTCCATTTGACTTCGGGATTGGTCGGTGGTTGAAGATGCGTCAGGGAAATACAGTCCTATAGCTTTCTTCGCCTCCTACCTAGCATCATCCTTAAGCCCAACAGCCCATGATGATTGCATCCACAGGTGGCTTTGTCCTGCATCGCATGTTGTCCGTACGTTGCAGCCTCTTTCCATCCAGAAGCTTCTTGCAATCCGCGCCAGGCTTAAGGTTGAAGAAGGCCAGGATGCTGGCAAGGGCGAGTTACATCCCAAAGCCACTACGGAAACCCACATGCGTCAGAACATCCAAGAGGGTTGCGGCACCGTAGAGCCAGAACGCCCTTACCCGATCACTACGTGCACGGAGCCCTTCGAACTGCTGGACCTTTGAGGGACTGGCATCCTGCTAATAGTCCAGCCCAAGAACTCCCTTTCAATGCCAAAAATGGGGAGTTCTCTGAGTCAAAAAAATTTTGGGGGGGTCCAATTCTGAAACAGAGCCTTGTATTACTGTGTCCAGGCCAGGGAGCGTATCTCAGAAACTTCCCAAACATGTACTTGTAACTACTGGCTTCTCTACCCAAAAGTTCTTGCTCCTACCAAACTTAGCTGCCGCACGTCCGCAGAACTCTGCTGCCCAAGCCTCCTACGCGACGGTAGCTTCAGGCCCTGGCAGGCGGCCCAACAGCACCGGCTCGCGCCTGTGGGTCCAGGGTTTAAGGCTCCAGGGCTGAGTCTCAACCTTGAGCTATGATAAGCACATTGGGGCATCGGAAATCCCTGAAACCAAACACCTCGTATCTGGCAAACCGACATGGCCGAGTTGCACAAACTCAAGAGCTGGACGTCCTTCAATACCAAGCCTCTGCCTCCGCCTCCAGGTGAGTCGCGTCACTCTGAACCCGAGACACCCTACTACCCTGATTTGAACATAAGCCGCGGAAAGGGGCCTGCTCGGACCATCATCCCGCCTCAAAGACCGATAGGTTGGAGGTTGCTTGAGGCTTGGGGTTTGAGGGGCTTGGACTGAAAGGTTATCAGGGGCTGAAGTCGAGGTTGCACCACAGCGTGGCAGCATCCCAGCACTCTAGAACCGTCGACCCAAACCCGAAACCCCAAACCCAAACCCTCAACCTTGAGCCCAGAACAGACCAACTCGATGATTCAGCACGCCCCCCGCCTTGGGCACAGGGACACGTTCACGGCTCGCATCTTGCCTTTGACATCATCGTACTCCGCATCGAAGCGCACCTTGTCCCCCTTGCCCAAGCCACGGCAACCTCTCAAACTCGAAACGTGGCAGAACAAATCTCGGCTGCCATCATCTGGTCCTGCACCAGGGAGTGTGATTCGACAACAACACCAAACACTAAGCAAGTGCCTATGAAGCCATAGCCGTTGTCCATCCACTTCTTCACGACGCCTGACTTCGACATGGCTCCTGCCCACTTATTTTGGCGTAAGGGTCGGTCTTCGAACTGCACCATGCAATCTTAAGGCGCGCTGTCCTGGCCGTGCGGGGAAGGGCACGAAACGGTGGAACAACCCCCCCTTCACCCTGCTGCTGGAGCCGATGCGAGCAGTTGCAATGTCCGCGCTTGAAAAAATCGGGATGCGAGTCAAGACTCGCATGGTTCTTCTCAAGCCCATTATACGAGTCCCTCAAGGCGCAAGGGTTTGTTTCTATAGGAGCCACAGTCTGCAAAGCTGGAAAAGAAGCAGCTGCAATCGTAGTGGTGCGCTGAACAGCTACATTGGGCTGCATGAGCTTGCAGGCTGGGGGTCTGGTGTCTTTATTGTCTGAATCACAAAACGTGAACCAATCACAATCACGCAACCCTGCCATTCTTCTCTATCAATCCGCTACCGCGACCCAGTCCGTAATCGGACTCCAACCCGCTCTCCGAGTGGTTCAATGAGAACCGAGAGATGCTCTGTGTGATGACTCCATAGGGCAGGCAAGCTATGGATCAGCGAGCGGGCGGAAGGATCTGCAGGTGAACCTTTCATTTCTTCTCGACTTGCGTTTTGGTATTTGTCGCCGTGCCCACAACCTAATCCCTCAGCAGGACCCGAAGTCTTGAGCAAGCTCAAAGCTCGGTGCCGACTTGTGCCGACCTTGTCACCCTTAAACCCGAGCTGTCACTGCCAAGTACATGGTTTCCCCTGTTTTCCCTCAGCATGCACGTCGGACCTATGCTGCTCGAATGCCAAGCTGAAACGACTGTCTCCTTGAGTGGCAACTCTGCTCTGCAGTGTCTGCGATTGCGAAGGCAGTCCCACTACATCCTGCAGCTCCACAACTTGCAGGACCTGGACGTTCGCGAAAAGCTAAAAATGGCCATGACTCTACATGAGACAAAAGTTACCAATCTCGACCCACCATGATCTGCAAAGCGGCTGCTTGCCATTGGGGGGGGGCTCGATGAACAACGGCTCTGCACGCCTAACGGCTGTGCCTTGTCGTGTTGGAAACTTGCAGTGAGCAAGGTGTGGAGAAGGAACAGTCCCCGCCCCCCGAATCGTCAGATTAAACCCGCTACGTGTGGCGTGCATCAACCACACGGCGGGTCTCGAATTCAATTCTGGTCCAAACCCAAGCCTCTCTCAAGGCGTCCGCCACTATGCGGTCCTTCCATCGGACTCTTCAGGAGACAAGTTAGCATGTTGTTTGCGAAATATTTCTGTAGCTCTTCTGGTCGGGCCGGCCGGCTTCAGATTCTTTAGTTCTGCTTGCACCATCCCCCAGTCCAGCTCCCCAAGCCTCTCCACAGGTACAGCTAGTATGTTTTCAGTTAATGATATAACAGGATAGAGTTACAACCACAACATAATCACGAACGCTGCTAGTTATCGAACTTGCTGCCGATCACGCTCTACTGTCGGTCTCAGCTCCGACAAAGCATGATCGTGGCCGGCATACCTGTTCCTAACGGGGCCCCGCAGCACAGCTCTCACAACTTCCCTTCTTCAAATGTTTAACACTCCCACCGCCTAAGGCATACCAATTTCGCTTCCGAAGCAGCGTGCTCGAATCGGAGTGCGACGGCAAGCCGGTCTGCGAGGCGTGCACTGTGCCTCGTTTTTCTCGGGACTCTTCACGTCAGGAACACCCTTCAGACCACACAGCAGCGTTCGTAGCGGCTGCTTGCGCAATTTCTCGATGCGTACCTGACTGACCCAACCAAGCAAGCTGTGAGGTTCAACACACTGCCGCGTACAAACTTCGGGACAGCATACGGCATACGGGACGACAAGAGGCTGGACCCAAGCACACCGGTGCTGGGACATCTGGGCCAAACCACGTTGCCATAGCTGCAGCATGATCAAAAGATGTTGAAATACAAACCTGAATGGACTGTGTTTGATTGCCCGCAGATTCCGAACACGATTGCGCCGGCTGACATTCTAAACATGCAAATATGTGCCAGAACCACAAGAGCCTCAACCATGGCTGTCCAAGTCTTTTCTGCTCTACTTCACAACTGTCCCGGCAAGTGAGTTACCAACTGGTTGGAAAATGCTGCGCGCGTCTTGATCTGAGCCTGTTGCCGGCGACAGAGTGGTTCTATGGGCTTAGCAAGCATGGCAACATCATCAGGCCACAAAGTCTTGCCCATTATGCATCCTGCTTGCACAAAAATCAAGAAGTCCCTCCTGAAGCTTGAAGCCTGTGTGCCTTCAGTCTTCCACACAGCACATATAAAGTCTGCTACAGGTTCTGATGTAACCCATGGGGTTACAGCGCCTCAAGAATTGCTGATGCCTTTTGGCCATTTTGCCCGCATTCGTGGTCCGTCCAGCGAAGCACTCCTGGAGCTGGGTGAGGCCGGACTTGTCGGCATAAGTGCCTTCCTTGCATTTATCGCACTGGGACATGCCAAACTGGTTCACGAAGAAACCCTTCTGGCAAGAGCTGCAGGAAGAGGCAGCCCGCTCTTCACTGATGCCAGCTGGACAGGGGTAGCACTCGGCCAAGCCACTGACATTGCCGAAGGCTCCGGTGCGGGAGGGATCACATTGTGTCACGCCTAAAGCTGCAAAGTGTCCAGCGGGACAGTCGCTGCATCCGAGGTCGTTGAACCAAATGGTTCCAGCAGGGCACTCGCTGCTTCGATCTAGCGGAAGAAATCCTGTGGACGCGCTGCTGCAGCTCGTGCTCTTGCTGCTGTCTGTTCTGGCAACCACTCAAGCCGGAGCCAAACGTGACCAGCTGCGTGTTGGGCTTGCTTGCCGGTGGCCGTGCATGTGAAGTAGATCTATCTCGTTGTGCAGCGATATGCGCTGCTTGTGACTGAGGTGTGGGATCCCCTCAGCCACCTGCACGTACTCGTCCTGCAGGCCAGCAATGTCTGCACAAAGCATCTCAATCACTCGATTCAGTTCGCTGAGCCCAAGTTCGCTCATTCCCAGCTTAGAAATCTGATGCCTCGTCTGAGTCTTCTACCGGAGGCCGGTGGACCTTGCAACAGCGATTCATATGGACGGGGCTCCGCTTGCACATGTGCTGATGTTTGGGTACTTTGAAAAGGTGCCACGCAAAGCATGATGCTCGCCGGCTAAAGCCGCCGCAAGCCAAGCTTAAAGCAAAGAGTTTTGAGCATCAGTGCCAGCAAGGTGCACAAGGTCCGCTCCTGCACGTCGGATCGGCCAAACCAAAACACAGCGCCTCGTCGGACAGCCCCAGCAGCTTGAATTTCGCGACCAACATCTCTTTCCCCTGCATCGAGGACTTCAGCAGGAACATCACTAGCAATGCGATTCCCCTTGCGCCTGCCTGGTATAATGCTGCCGGCAGGTTCTCCCCAGTCAGCTCCACCGCGTCCTGGGCAGTCCAAAGCGTGCACAGGACCACGCCAAAGCATGCTGATGCGACACGCGCAGACACGTGTTCAGGTCCTCGTCGGCGACTACCCGCAGGCCATAATGCTTGAAGAAAGCTGTGTCACGAACTGCAACCATTGACTTCAGCTTTGCCAAAGACATGCGACGGACGTGTCGCAGGCGACAGCTCTCGACCTGAGCTTGTGAACTAGAAACACGCAAGAGCCAGAGCAGTTGAACCGACCACAACTCAAGATCACTGAGGGATGGGGTCGGGAGAGGAAGAAGGAAGGGTCGGGGCACTCAACCAAAAGAGCCCAGAAAACCCTCCAGCAGGCAGCACTCACAAGTACGGCCTTTTTCATCTTGAGCCAAACGCAAGTTTGGTTCATAGGTCGCTTTTGAAGCTCAAGGACTGTTTTCGCTACCATGCTACACAAAGGGCTGACATGATCGTAATCTTTCAACTAGAGCCGCAGCGATTGGAGCAAAGCACACAAAGGTCCCGGCAACCTGCCGCATAATTCCGTGCCGGGCCTCGAACCGAGCGTACGTGCTCGCAGCCATGCTAGCACGATTATCCTGGAATATCTGAGCACAGTACATACGTCGCGGCGCGTTCCATGGCAACCGCCGACAGGAAATCAGCTTGAGTGTACAGGCCTCGCAGCAGGAAGCAGGCCAGCCTTCACTGCGCTTAGGAATCGTCAGGCCCAGACTTAGGAACTTGGGCCAGTCTTGCCGACTGGCAACTTCGCAGGCCTGTTCCGGCAAGGCCCGCCGGGTGACGCGGGAACAACAACGTGGCTTCTACACAGGCGCAACTCAAATCACAGGCACGGCACAATCGCAGCATCGCGGTTGAAACACGACTATAACCAGTACGGCTCGTCGCGAACGCAAAACTGTTGCACCATGCATGGTTCTGTGCCTGCAGTGCCCACGCCACAACGGAATGAGACTGCTGCTCAAGACTCAAAGTGGCAACGTGGCCGCCAAGCTCCTAGCAACATCTGCTGAAACATGGCAGCTGATAGAGTAAAATGCAGTCATGCTGTTGTCACAAACTGGGCAGCATGGCCGAAGGTGCCCACGACATCAACAGCAACGTCAGATATCGCAGCGTTGCCATCTCGTGAGAGCCGATGTAGGCCTGCAAACATCACACGCAGAGGGCTTGTAACTCCGACAGCCTCAACGTGTTTAACGCAAAGCCCACCTCAGAAGCATAAAGCGACCTCAAGCTCAGAATCCTTTCGACCAGCCCGCTCGGTGGCCCCTAGCGAAAATGCAATGCATGGCGACGTCGTGCAGATGCAGGTAGATTGCGCCAGCGGAACCTCCAAGTAGAAAAGGGACACGATCTCCTTCCGCAAGCGATACTCAACCTGGAGGCCGAGCCCTCATGTTCTAATCTCTTGCGGTCCTGCACTGCACTCCGTGTCTCAGCGAACCCGGATCAAGGCTCGCACTGAGTCCGAGTCGCTCACTGCGGCCTGGTGGTCTGTAGAGTCTGCAGTGTTTTTCAACAGGACCATTCATTCGTGTGGAGGGCTGTCGCTGGTGGCAGACTGGTTACCAAAGGGATGAAGCAAGTGATGGCAGCCTCATCACGCGCTTTCTCAGCCTCACCCACCTCGCATGACTTTTCGGCCTCATCCAAACAATAGCTGACAGTGCTGTTGCCCTATCCATGCGAGCTTAAGCAGAAAGCAGCCCCATCATGAGCGAAATCAAACTAGGCAACTTCCTAGAGCATATCCAGCGCCTCCTTTTGTGAAGGCGCGGCAGCAGCTCCATCCGTACAGGAGTCAGCAGATGCGCCCTCCCAGTCCTGGTAAAGGACCGATGCTTCGGAAGGTTGGAACATCAAATTTCATAGCGGTCGATCCTCCAAAGTGTCGTCCGGAGATGGTGGGGCTGTCACATCCGAAAGCCTCATATGGCCGGAACATCGACGTGGGAAATGACTCCTTCTGCTCCCGCCTAGACCTCCTCGGGGTTGAGAGTTCAGTCTTTGCCTGGCAAAGGCTAGCGCATCGGCAGTTTCACATCGGGACAAGCCTCATGCATCCTACGATGGGCGATTCTTCTCATCGACGCTGAGGCTGCGGCTGGAGCAATCTTCTTCGCTTCTACTGTCTCTGTCGGCGAAGCACTAGTGTCTGGCGCTTTCGGCACTGGCTTCGGCGCGAGCGGGAACTTGGAGTACAGGTTCTGTCGTGGTGGACAAAGAACAAAAAATTGCCAGTGGAGAAATCCCATGCCCCGCCTGCATTGCGTCCGAACTTGCACTGATTGTCTTCACATGCTCGACATAGTAAGACCTGTCGCTGCAATTCTGTGAAGGGCTGTTGCTGTGGTGGTGTCTGCGTGACGCAGGCCGGAGGCACCAAGTGGAGGGCTGAAATGCAGATTCGGCTTTCGCACGGGCGGCAGCGAGAGCCTCGCAGCCAACAGAATATGACAATCTGACACCTAAGCCTACACCAGTCTCCGGGCAAGCAGGGGCAGCTGCAGGTGCTGCTGCGGCTGCTGCCGCCTGAGGGGCGGGTGAGGCATGCAGCGCGCATAAAATTCGGCAGTGGGCAAATGAAAGCAAAATCATGCAAGCACTATCTGGGAACGACCGTAGCAAACCTTCTCGGACAGCTCGCTCATGGAGGCCACGGCAAGCCCTGGATCCAGACATGGGTATTCCTGGAGGCAGAGAAAGCAAAGGGCGACCGCGAAGGAAACACTGGGGGAGTTTCAAAAGGCAAAAGAAATTACAAGTCGTACTATGACTCTTCAGACTTTTCAGCTCTTGGTTCCTGCATTAAATCTAGGTCCGCGTTGCAAGTGTGGTTTTCTGCGGCTCAAGATCCTGAGCCGATGCCATGATCCGCATTTCAACGAAGCACGCTATGCTTCGGCACAACAGGCTAGGTCGACTGTTTCCAAAAGGGAATTTTACATAAGGCTTGCTTTAGCTGGCGGCCCAGGGCATAGGAGCAAAGTCCTCTCGCACTCGGTTGAAGCAGCACTGCTGGCACTGACCCATGATGTCAGGCACAGAAGCCACGGGAACCAGATGCTGTCAGCAGTGTTTGTTGCAGGCACGTTGTTTTGGGTGAAACGCATCTTTACTTTATCGCAGGTGCCAACAAAGAGAGTCACTGCGGAGCTTGCGTCGGTAAGAGAGATGCTGCGGAACTTAGAGCCCAGACCACGCCATAGATCCGTTTGAGGGAAAAAGCAGCACAGTCTACATAAGTCCCACTGGAAGTACGCGCTTTTGCTTGAGGCCACCATTGAGCTTGGCACCGAGGAGACTACAGCAATCCCCAAGCGACATAGGCATGGGTTGTGCAGAAAAACAAACCGACAGGATCTTGGGCTTCAAGCTGCTTGCAACAAACCGTTCTTGAGCTGGTGTCCTGTGCAATACATAAGTCCGCAGCTGCCCATGTCCACAAGTCCCAAGAATCGAAAAAGCCACCAGGGCGCAGGGAACTATTGCGGATGTCCTGCGATCCGCAGATTCTTAACTGCATCCATGGCTGTAGAAAGGAAACTGCACTCAGATAGGTTCCCCCAACCGCGCACAAGTTGCTGCATAGTATTCCCGGCTTGTTTTGCATCAGCGGAAAGGCAGGTCAGTCACTCAGTCACACTGACTGGTTGGAGAAGCAACGGCTTCGTCCAAGCGAGACCTGAGCGCTGCAGCTGCGCTCTCCTCGGGGACTGCGACTTTGCGCTGAGTCCCAGCTGCGCATGGATTTCACGCATGTCTCCTTCCTCGGAAGCACCCGACGGAACGACACGGATTCTCGCTGTTGCATGCCACAGTCAAGAACGGAGAAAAGATGGCGGACAGTCTGGCAGGAAATCATTAGCGTGTTGCTTCGCTCAAGCATGCTCAAGCCAACGGATCCCAACTTCATCTTGAGCTCCCGAAGTATCCCCAAGCCGACGGCCGAAACGAGGGCTGATCGGATTGCTTCTCCAACCAGTTAGTGTGGTGGTGGCAATGCTGGCTCGAGACTGCGAATCTGCGACTGAGTCCCAAGCTGCACATGACACGGATTCTAGCTCTTGCATACCCGGGGCCGAGACAATCAAGAACGGAGAAAAGATGGCGGACAGCCTGGCAGGAAATGATGAGCGTAGACATGCCCTAGTTTCGCTCAAGCCAATGGATCCCAACTTCATCTTGAGCCGTGCCCCCGAAGTATCAGCAAGCTCGAGCCGGCATTGCCACCACCGTTGGTCACCTGCAGGACGTGGATTGGCAGGTAGCACACACTGCTAGAGCTCGGCTAGTCAAAATGTCGAACTACACAACCTGTCCCAAGTTGGCAGTGAAACTTTGGCTTTCATGTCGCGAACACTGAAACTTTTGTTTGGTTTGACTTGGCACAGTGGGTTCGGCTTCTCAGCCCGCATCATTGCAGAAACTGGAAGGGCGGATTTGCCTTAAACGACGAGCTGGAAGGGCGGATTTGCCTTAAACGACGAGCTGGAAGGGCGGATTTGCCTTAAACGACGAGCTGGAAGGGCGGATTTGCCTTAAACGACGAGCTGGAAGGGCGGATTTGCCTTAAACGACGAGCTGGAAGGGCGGATTTGCCTTAAACGACGAGCTGGAAGGGCGGGTTTGCCTTGGGCGGCGAGCTGGGGGGGCCCCCGCGGGCGCGAGAGTCTGGCCAGGAAACCCTGAATTTTGCCTTAAACGACGAATAACATTAGAGTCTTCCCTGGTTAGTCGCCTCGAGTACCCTGATCCACTGCAGGTTTTTGCCGAGCCAAGGCGATTCCACAGACAGAATCGCTGATTTGACAATTCGTAATTATTCTGTAGCTAAAGTCTCCAAGCGGATGCTTCGAGACTGTCCGAGTGACTGCTTGCAAAAACCCTAAGCCCTAAACCCCAATCCTCCAACCCGAAACCCTTGAAAGTTTTCAAGGGCTTCGTCGCAGGGTTTGGGGAAGTTGCGGGTTTTCGCTGGGAGCTTCCGGGCTTTCTTTTAGCGGCCTTCCTTTCAGTGTTTGCAGTTGAAAGTTCTTGTAGAAAGCTTCTGTTTCAGTGTTGAGGACTTCGCTGTGGGTTTGAGAGATCCAAATACCTCAAAACAACCGGAATCTGGTAAAGCCATCGACAGCAAAGCTCCAAGACCCTAAACCCAGAAACCCCGCAGCCTGAAAGCCCAAAGGCCGTAACACCTTGGACCCTGAGCCGCAACCCAGAAACTCGAAAACCAATGACCCCAAAGCCTATCTGCAGCATCCGCAGAAGTCTCTGCAGAGGGCCTCAGGGCACATTCACAGGTGATGTGTTCACCATCTCACGGGGGGGGTGGGTAGATCCCGGGGGCTGCTCACTGTGGGCCACTCTCCTGACCCTGCAAAAACAGCATCGGCTGGGAATCGTATTCTCATTGAAGCCTACTGCCATGCATCGCTAGGAGCCCAGTTTCCGTCTTGCTGTTCCACCAACCAGATCTTGTGGCACGCAGCTGACATGGTTTTAAGCCGAACCCATCAACATGCAAGTATAAATGCACATGTATGCATGCAACTGCAACAATGTATCTGTAAATCCATGAGGGTCACTCAGCAAATGCACGTATGCAACTGCAACAGTGTATCCCAAGGCATGATCTTAATACACTCAGAGAGGACATGAAGTTCTTGGAGCGCAGATCGTACTCGGGTTCCAAGGATACTTCTACAAAGCTGCCTCACATCAAACCCTTGTATGACTTGACGATATACTTGATGCCTAACAGTAACACTAGCCACATGTGGAGACAGTCATGAATTCAGAGACTGAGAATGGACCGAAAAGGTTGTGCTTCGGCCCCCGATAAGCGTGTTCCCGACAGATACTCGTGGAACTTTGGATCTGGAAAATTGCAACGTCTGAGGCAAACACGCGAAGCCACTGCTGCCATCCGTCCTGCGAGCAGTGAGCAGTCAACCCGAAGCTTTACTATGTCAATACGAAAGCGTCCCCTTTTTTTGACACTCACACTTTATAGGTTCTGATACAGTGCAGTAACCTGTGAAGGGCATCCTGTTTCAGAACAACCCGCATGCAACTCGTGCTTTCGGTTGCAGATCTGCATCTGCTCCTGGGGTGGAAATGCAGGGTGCTCCGATCGTTTTCTGAAGCTGGAGGTCCAACCATCCCGCAGCCTCGTTTTTTCCTGAGCATCGGGTCCTCACACATCCTGCCCTCTGGCCTGGATGCGTAGCTCAAAGAGCGGACGCTTGTCAAAGTGAAAGCCCGGAAGCCCCGCACCCTAGGACCTCCCCCCCGCCCGCGCTCCTCGGCGTGGTCCAGCGGAGAATCCTCATGTGGAAGCTTGAGGAGCTTACCCAGATAGGCGAGAAGGAAACTGCTGGCTCTCTCACGGTCGGCAGAACAAACTGATACAGTACTGCAGGTCCAGGATTGGAATCGCATCTTTACGGCGAAACGCCAGAAACACCGACGCTGGAAATGCAAGCATTAACATGAGGAACCCTGAGACCTCTAGGACAAGCATGCTCCAGGGCTCCATTCTTCCGAAGCTTCTAGCCAAGAAGATTTAGCAGCGGATTAAAGGAAGCTGTCCGTGCATGTGCGGTGCGCATGCATGAGGAATTTGGCAGCAACACTCGCTAGGTCCAAGGCTCGGCAGACCAGCAAGCACATCTCTCAATCCGACTTGTACCCGTACGGTCTTCAAGGTCCAGGGCTTAAGGCTTGGTCCCCGGTCCCCCCCCTCCCCTGCTTTGTGTCCGTGCCGGGACTCCGGTGATTAGGCGCGAGGTCGAGTTCCCTAAATTGTCTAATCTTTGCTTCCATGCCTCGAATTTACAGAAAGCGTGAGTTCCTGCAGACTCCCTAAATCCCTAAAGTCTTTACATACCCTAATTTCCAGCCCCATGTGTTGGTTTCAGCGCATTCCCTAACTTTCCTGACTCCCAGCCAGGACCATGTGTTGGATTTAGGGAATTCCCTAATTCCCTAAATTCCCTAAATTCCCTAAACCTAACCCTTATAGGGAATTCCCTAATTCCCTAAATTCCCTAAATTCCCTAAATTCCCTAAACCTAACCCTTATAGGGAATTCCCTAATTCCCTAAATTCCTTAAATTCCTTAAATTCCCTCAATTCCCTAAATTCCCTAAACCTAACCCTTATAGGGAATTTCCTAATTCCCTAAATTCCCTAAATTCCCTCAATTCCCTAAATTCCCTACCCATGAACGGAAACCATTGAATCTTATCCATGGGGGTCAGACTTAGGGAATTTAGGGAATTTAGGGAACTTAGGGAAATAGGGAATTCCCTAAATCCAACACATGGGGTAGGGAATTTAGGGAATTTAGGGAATTTAAGGAAATAGGGAATTCCTTAAATCCAATGGGTAGGGAATTAGGGAATCTACGGAATTCAGGGTTGGTCTTGGGGAGGGGGGCTAGCATATACATATATATATATATATATATATATGTATATATATGTATATATATATATATATATATATATATATGCTGCAGGATTCCACGACATTTTGAAGCACGCACACACACACACACACCCAAGAGACGAGGACGTGGCCCAAGCCTTGCAAGGTGTGCTTTTAATCGGCTCTGACATAAGGGTTGAGCTGAACCCCCTCGATCGAAATCCGCATGTGCGAATTGAAAATCAATGTAGCTGCAGTCACATCATAAGTACGTATCGCCACAAGTTGAGTATATAAAGATCTACTCATGGAGCTCGCTGCTGGTACACTATATACTGATTCTGTTGAAGTACATGGGATCCAACATCCCTGAGCTCGAAAGCCTAATCTCTAAACCTTGAGGCTATTCTGCTTTCCACGACTTTCGCTCTGCGATCCTCCACTCTCGGGCTCCCGGCTCTTCTCGCGGTACGTAGCCATACCTGGTTGAGAAGCAGTCTGACTGACTATAAGAGGTTTTCAAAAACTGATTTCACATATCCCTACGCTGCCATTCTTGGTCCATACGTGATTGAGGGATCGAGCCCCTCAACCCCAACCCTGAAAAACAGCCTTTGCCTCTCCTCGAGAGTCCTGTCTTACAGTAGAGTTCCTTCCAGAGGGCATTCTCGGGTTCTAGACGGGTTCTGTAACATATGGGCCCAAGTAAATCGGATAGGGTTTTAAAGGTGTTTCTTCGACTTATAATACCTCAGTACCCCAAGGAACACTTTTCATCATTCAGATTATTCCACACTAAACCCAAAACCCACTATAGTAAGACACCCAAAATGGAGGAACCTTTGGGTCTGTGCTGCTGGCGCGGTGCTAAACAACTCTTTTAAACTGGCATGTCCTATACTGCTCTGATTGCAATCGCTGCAAGCCCTGAACCGCTAGAGCATCAGAACTCTCGTCTTCTCAGACACCGAGGCAGTGGCAGCCGCAGGCTCCAGGAAGGAATCCTGCTCCAGGCGCACAGCTGGCATGCATGCATAGCTGCATGTTTTACAATTATGCATGTATCGTATGTATGACCCCTTTATATTTGACAGGGGTTACACGGTTACACCGAGACACGAAAACAGCTCTCGAGGCATTAAGGCTGAACGGTTTCAAAGAGTTCACTTGACGCACATGTGCGAGTGCTTCGATATGCTCAGGTCACTTAGGTCTTCATCAGCGTGACTTTCGTGTGCTGCGTGATCCAGCTGCGGCCATCAACATGCCAAGGCCTCTCTTCACACAACATCGATCTCGCTCCCTGCTGCCGATGCATTACCAATCTGAGGGTTGCACACTGAAAAAGAGTCCGGGTGCTGCACCTTGCTGCAAAGCTATACGAGTCTGATTGCAAACTGTTTCTCCTTACAAGTACATACCAACCTCTTTTGCCGAAGTTGTTGCCGCGCTTGTAGCTGCGTGAGACAGATTTTCAGTAGTGGTACAGTCTCAAAAGCTCCCGCCGCGAAAGCCTTCAGCTGCTGCTCTGCTTCTGGCTTCGTCTTGGACCGCCATCAGCTCGCCACAGAAGCGCCAGCTTATTCATCACTGTCGTCTTCTGACCCTGTAGGAGTCTGATCAGCAGGGACACCAACTTTTGACGGCTGCACTGCATTGCCTCACTCGAGGCCTCTTCACTGATGTCGGTGGACTCTGACAGTAGGTCCCCCATCCAGCCAAGCATGCCTTCTGCGACAAGTTGCTGCACAAAGGGGAGGTTGCCAAACCCATACATATACACAACATAGTGCGCAGCCCTCCTCACAGGTCGTCCATGTGACTGCAGTGCGCAGTCAGATCTTCAAGGTTTGCGCTGACAATGTCGCGGACATCACTTTCTCGGAAATGAGTTTTGTCTGCATGTGCCAGAACCACGCACCACCAGCGGCCTGGGATCGAAAAGCACATGACACTATGCGCCAGATAGACTCGAATCTGACTCACATACACTTTTCCTGGTGTCATGCTTGCGAGAGGCCAAGAGACCCTCAAAGACTATCTGTTGCGTAAGATCCTTCGCAATGTCGGCATTAAAGGTATCCGGGTCGTCGAAGGCACACCTCCATTTCTCAGAATAATCGCAGATTGACTCGGACCTGCACTGCTCAAGCGAAAGTCACGTGGAGGAGGGTTTGAACAGGTCTGCCCTTCTGCAGAGTTCCATGATGCCGGGAGCACGAGTCGGTAACAACCTAACGGAGGAGAAAATCCCGACGTCCGAAGCCGAGTGGGGAGAGGCCCAGGATTGAGGCCCAGAGTTGCTGTGCCGTCCCTTTACTTGCAGCCCTTTCGGCGTCCCAGGCCATCGTTATTGTTCTGTGCATCCTGGCAGGCTCAGGCTCAGCACAGGACTTGGAGCTCCGAGGAGGAGTTCGGGAGGGTTGGGTGCGTCTGCAATAATTTCGGAAGGCCGAGCTGTACAAGCTGCCTGTGATGCAGCGGCTGCTGCTCCCTCTTTATCCTCGTCTATGAAGGCATCGACTTGCCACCCTTCCCGTGCATGTAGTCAGTGCTCAAAGCAAAATTCTGCCGTGTCTTTCAACAAGGATCAGGAAGGGCCCCAAGCTCAGAAGCCTGACACTGCGTTACACCCCTGTCTACGTGCTACATCCAGTAACTGGCGTTGAAAACTACAGCGAGAGAGGGAAAGAGGGTCCACGACTGCGTCACCTGAGTCTGTTTTGATCACTCTCGTGCCGACATCTCGAAACCCCAAAGCTGTCAACACCATGCATTCCTTGTCGTTTGCTGGGCGGGTTGGGATTTGCGCAGCTGCAGCGATGACGGACTCTCCTCTCCCGACACAGTTTCTAGTTTTCGGATGCTCTCGAGTGCAACGGATCCTTGTCGGAAGGCGCTCGTCAGTGTTTGCACAACTTCTTCCACTTCCTACCAGGCTTCCAGCCTTCTCGATGCCAGCGCTGAGCAGCGCGGACGCGTAGTCCGCCCAGGCCTTTTCCGCGACAAGGTTGCAACCTCAGAGAACGTGGGGCCCCGGCCCCCGGCTTCTCGTCTCCGGCGGGGTCCGAGCGGGACGGGCCGCGGCCCCGGGAGCTCGGCTAACCCTAAACCCTACTAAACTCTAAGGCCCTCAAGATGGTCACATGATAGCAATAGGATAGTATATGATAGTTGTGGATTGGCGTCCTACTAAAAAGAAATGTCTTCACAATGGTCCTACCTTAGCAAGGACAATCTTCACTGCGCAAGCGCTCATCCTCAGCCAAAACTTCGTGCGCCAGCCTTCCACAATCATTCACACAATCCCATGTAATGTTTCAACAGTGAGCGATCCCCGCAAGGCTTTTGGGCGGAGTGTTACCCTGCAGAAAACCACGGGAGGAACTCGTGCAGCCTTTACCCTTTCACGCCGGTTTCATCCTGAATCTCTCGTTTCCCACATTGTTCACTTCGCAGCTGCCCCTGGGCACTACTCGTCAAATACTCTGCTCCACGGTTCCCCCAAGTCCGCAGACACTTTCACGATCACTGCCAATTCTGAGGCCCCGTCGGCGATAGCAGAGCCCATGCCATGCCTTGAAAAGCAAAGGGGATCGGGGAATGGGTTACATAGGGGCTCTTATACGGGTTGATTCACATCATTCGTGCACATGCGCCCTCTTTTCTTCAGCCGTTGCGGGAGGAGAATGTCAAGTTGGCATGTGACGGCCTGCAAAGCCGCCTGTTCTCCGAACTGCCTCGATCACAGTTTGGCGGAAGGTACTGACAGACATGCCGAACACCGCAGTTACCAGATGATGTGACACAGCAATCTCCGCCTCCATATCTTCGTGGTCGATGGGGCTCACATCGAAGAGACTCAAAAGCGATGCATCCAAAGGCTGCCTCGCTGCAAGAGACTCGGAGCACCCCTGTAATTACTCAAGGGCAGGTGCAAACTTCTCAAAGCTTTCATGGACTTCAAGACATTATTGATCTTGGCATGGCAGGGCCTGTCACACAAAACAAGTGCTGCGTCACACCGTGGATTTCATGCTCCAAAGTGCCGCCTTTCGCGGCCTGGTCCATGGCAAGAGCCACATGAGGCCATGGCCTTGGCTTCCACACTCGTGCAGGCCTCTTGAAATGACAGTAACAGGACTCTCACCCTGTTCCCTGTCGCTCTTGCAAACCAGGGCTCCAATTGGTTGGCTCGCTCGAAGAATTCATTGATGCCAGCGACCAGAGACTGCATCCCATCCGAGATTCTACAGTACTTCCTTGTTGGGCCCTCTAGCCTCACTACACTCCTGCTGGACGAAATCCTCCGCAGCGTGCTTTGCCTGCAGGCTAGAAGGCTAGGCTGCACGGCATGTCTCATGATTCCCATGTTGTGCTCTGAGTGCTCTGAAGTCAGCCTTCTTGAACTGGGACATGAAGAGGCATTTTCGCAGCATGAACATGTGACATGTGATGGAAGGAATCTCAACCGGTTCGCAGTAAGCCGAGACTCTTTTCGATTTCAAAATATGCAGTGCGCGGCATCTGCTGACACATGGCCATGGAAAATCTCGTTGTATGGACACTTGGAAAACCGCAGTCCAGGTCAGTGCTATGAAACATGTCATGCAACCTCACAGGTCTGACCGGCTGAACTCATCACGATGCACTTGCTGGACTCCCGGCTCCATTGACAGTTTGTGCGTTGCGCATCAAGTAGGAAAGCTGTTGCGGCGTCAGAGATTGACTGTGCGTGTCCGCTCGTTCGCGATGAGAGCAATGAGCTGAAGAAAACCAGAAAGGGCCCTGTGCTTTCATCCATCCTGCCGTCTCCTTAAGACTAATGCCTTTTGCGAAGTAAGACCAGAAACACCTCAGCTCACTGTCCCACAGGCCGCCACGTCTCGTGGGCACTGGCGAGAGGAACAGCGTGCCGACAGTTATCGGCACAAGCATGAGTGCCACATGTCTGTGGCCGGCCAGTCTTGCCCTTCGTTGTTTGATGGCTAAAAGTGATAGAGGCAGCGTGATAACCTGGCATTGAAGGGGCTGGCTCCGGGCAGACGGTGGCACGCATTAGATTGAATTCATAGTGACAGGTGTTGTACCTTTCCTCCGTGCGAAGCACAGGGAGACAAACTACAGCGCAATCCGTGGTTGGGCCATCTGCACATGAGCTGAGAAGTGTAGAACTGCTGCCCCAGCACAAGGGCCCAACCCTTCTGCACGGTCAGGCATGGGAAAGTGCAGCATATCATCGCAACTTCCCCGCATGGGCCCGATCGATCCCACTAACACTGCTGATGACGGAAAATGAGGTTCGCCACATTAACACAAACTCCAAGCTCAGCTGCTTGATTCAAATCTTTCCGGCATCAGATTCACCGGGTTCGGCGAAAGGCGAGCTCACTTGGAGCTCTTTGCAGCCTCGGACAAGCCGGCTATGTGTGCCTGGCGCATGTTCAGAGTAGTGATGACTGACACTAATGCTGATGATTTTGTACGGATGGTGATGATTTCTCCTGAACATCTCATAACCAACAAGGCAGCCAGAAACAAGCAAATACCTGTGGACATAAAACAAATCTGAGTCATGTTGGGAGTCATGCTGAAAATGATAACGAATAACCATACTTGAAGAAATATACATACATAGCAAGAAGCATCGAAAAAACGAACTATAACAAATGAACGGCTGAATTAATAACAACAACTGGAACAAATAGCACACATAGCAAGAATAAGTACTATAAGTATATAATTAAACACCTAAGCCTAAACCCAATAAGGCGACGGATTGGGGGAAGCCGGGGGAAGCGCGATATCGGGTGCGCGGGAGGTGCGCGCGGGGAGGGCCGGAGCATATCGGGTGCGCAGGCGGTGCGCGGGGGGAGGGCCGGAGCTTGGGGGAAGCGGGGGAAGCGATATCTGGTGCGCGGCACCGCCCGCGGGGGGAGGGCTGAAGATTGCTGACCGTGAGAAAAGAATCGTGCGGACTTGCATTCTGGCAGTCTTCTCTTCGCATGGGTTTTCGGGTTCCCGGCTTGACCTTGTATTTTGCTATCCCATGTAGTAAGTCCCTGCTAATGTGGGGGATCTTATTAGACAGTTAGATGGAAGAAATAGAAGTTACTAAGCCCAAGTTATTTTTTTAGCAAACTTCGTCTAACTTATTCTAACTTGCTTTAACTTAGTTTAATCTATGTTGGTTTATGTCGGTTTTGTGTTAAATGGTTTTCGTTGTTTGTCATTGATGCTGTTCTTTGCTGCGCTCCGTGAAGATAGGAGCAGGTACTATGGGTTTAGGGGGTTCAGGTGTTTAAGAACACCACCACCACCACCGCCACCACCACCACCACAGCCACCGCCACCACCACCTCCAGGTTTATAGGGTTTAGGGGGTAAGCTAGGGTGTGGAGTGTTGAAACACCATCATGAGTCAATGAGTGAATGGGGACTGACGGACTGACTGACTGACTGACTGACTGAGACTGACCGAGACTGACTGAGACTGACTGAAGGAAGGAAGGAGGGAGGGAGGGAGGGAGGGAAGGAAGGAATAGATGAATGAGTGAATGGTGAATGAATGAATGAGTGAATGAGTGAATGAGTGAATGGCGGAATGAATAAATGAATGAATGAATGAATTGAGATTAATGAATGACTGAATGACTGAATGACTGAATGACTGAACGACTGAATGACTGAATGACTGAATGACTGACTGACTGACTGACTGACTGACTGACTGACTGACTGACTGAGTGAATGACTGACTGACTGAATGAATGAATGAATGAACGAATGAACGAACGAACAAACGAACGAACGAACGCAGGAACGAATGAGTACATGTATGAACAAACGAACGAACGGACGGACGGACAGACGGACCAACGAACCAGCGAAGGAACAAATGCATGAACGAACGAACGAACGAACGAACAAAAGAAAGAAAGAAAGACAGAAAGAAAGAAAGACAGAAAGAAAGAAAGAAAGAAAGAAAGAGAGAAAAAAAGAAAGAAATAAAAAGAAAGACAGAAATAAAGAAAGAAAGACAGAAAGAACGTAATAAAGAAAGAAAGAAAGAACGAAAAAAATAAAGAAATAAAGACAGAAAGACATATG